ACATACGGCCGTATTATTGGAAGAGCTATGGTGGATTTATTCGGTTTCCACTCTACAGGTGGGTCAGTAGGAGAAACCAAAGTCGTCTTTTAGCATCTTGAACCGCACAACTGTCCGTGCCTTTTTCTTGCTTCTTTGGTGTTCATTTATCTCTGGTTAATAGTTTATACGAACCTAGTGCAAAGTTCAACTTACCTACCAGTTCTCTGTTGTTCCGAGGTAGACAATCCCAGACAGAGAAATACAAACGTCTGAGGTTCTATTCCTCTCTGGCGATTCGGATTTTCCTTCGACTCAAACTCGTGAGAAAATGTATTAAATCTTCCTTCAATGCTTCAGTATTTTGACACTTACTGAAGGAAAAATATCTTCTCAAAATTTTTTATTGAAGCCTGTTTATCAAAGGAGGGCATCTGCTTGCGTCCACAGCCCCTTTTCGTGGCTAAACCGTTCGTATTTTTTAAACTTTTGGGGAAATTTCATTTTAGGTTACTGGGCTTGGATGGACCCAGGAGCTTTTGCTCTCATTGGAGCGGCGTCATTTTTCGGTGGTGTATCAAGACTGACCATGTCCTTAACAGTGATTATGGTGAGTGTGTGATATTAGTCGCAGGAAGTATATCTAGCGTACGGGGAGCCATCAATCTGGGTTACTACCGGTTTATATTACAGATCTCTCTAGGGTTGAGTTTCGTGAAATATCGCATATCCCTTGTAGTCATATGTAATTTGTGTGATACTTGTTTACTCCCTACTTTTCCTTCTTTCTCAGATGGAGATCACAAATGACATTCAGTTTTTGTTACCGATCATGGTCGCCATCATGGTAGCTAAGTGGGTAGGAGATTTTGCTACTCATCCGTTGTACCATGCTCTGCTGGAGTTGAAGTGTATTCCCTTTCTTGACTCTGAGCCTGTTATTCTTCACGAGGGATCCAAAGCGTGAGTGGCAAATATTTAAACGCAATTTTCAGTTGCATCGAAAGTAATCCCGAAAAGCATTGGTCTTGCGATAACATGCTCTGTGATTGGTTCAAAAAAACGCTTACCACTCTTTCAACCAATCAAATGTTATCAGCGCGTTTCCGCGCTTTGGCAAGTGGCGAGAAAGCGCGGGAAAGGCCCAAAGTAAAGGCCTTTTACCTGTTTTATTTCTTCTTCTCTTTGGCTCCGTGTGAAACTTTCTCTTGTTCCTTTTGGAGCTGTGATCAGAGTGTTTTGGTTTAACGACACTCAAGTGAGGAGCACTCTGCATCGTGTTTCGAACAAAGGAAATATCACTCGGAGGCCATAGTAAATTCAAATTAGGAACGCGCAAACTATCCGAAGCGCGGGAAAATGTGAGAGAATAGGTCGTGATTAACTTTGGTCTTTGCATCTGATTGGTCGAAAGAGAGGTGCGAGTTTTCTAGACCAATCAGAGAGAAAACTGACGTAAAACCAATGCAATGCGTGATTACTTTTGGTGTCTTTAAAGTTTGTTCTTGTTTAACACTCAGTTCAGACCTCTTGTACAACGTCTGCGTATGCATTTACACTTTATGGTAAGCGGTTGATCCTGTAGGCGTATGCAGAGGTATATATGACAACGAGCATATTACGACTTAGCAAATAAAGTCATGTAACCGGCCTGAAATGCGGGAAAATGCGATTGGCCAAGGCACGATTAGTTTTGAGTCTTTTGGCACGTTTTCTAGACCAATCACAGAGTGTATTGGAGCCACGCCAGGACATTCCTAGATTGTTCACAATCTTATTTATTTATAAAATACACCTTATCAACATTTGCTTCTTGTTTTTAGGATTAACTTAGAGTTGTTTCGAGCTGGCGATGCCATGTCCTCTCCTGCAATAGTAAGTAGATTGATGTATACCGTTTGGAATGTCGCAAAAGACGAAGTGATCTTTACAGGTTAATTGTAATCAAAGTTTCGACAGAAAGTAGAATATAAAAAAAAATAAATAGGCTTTGGTGAGGTTCGAACCGGTGCCTCTCAGACATCTTTTGGGTGTTTCTAAAAACTTTGCAACGAGGACCGACTCGTTTTGGAAGCGAGGCAGTATCCCGCGCTTTTCCTTCATACAGGTGTTCGATTACAGCCAACTGTCCGATTACAACTCTACAGAATGATTAGTGAAAAATAAAGCACCCTAACTCTAAGCAATTATACAGCACCAATCACATTTGAGGAAATTGTAATGGTTATGATTAATTTGGGTAGAGTGCGGCTTGTTTGTCAGGTCTTAACCTTAGGGACCGTGGCAGTTATCTTCTTGAACCTGAGCGGACGGTCCTTCCATATCCTGACGCCTTTTTTCTCTCGTGTATATAAGGTTGTGCACAAAGTGGAATCTGTGTCTCGCCTCACTCATTTGTTGTTGGACACACCTCATGGTGGGTATCCTGTGGTCACTAAGACAGACGCAGACTATGAGGTGTTCTCTGGACTGATATCCAGGTAAATATCACCAGGTTTTTTTACTTCTTAGACGTGGGGGGAGGGGGGGGGATACTCATGTAAAATTCAGTAGGGGATGTGAGACTTTTTTCTTTAATCAAAACCTTGCCCTATGTCAGATCAAAGTAAGAGATTTCCCTTCGCTATTTTGTGACCTGAAAGAATTTTGACGGCGCAAAACATTTTATCAAGCTCCATTCTACCCCCCACTCTGCGGGTAAAACAAAACTTACCGTATTTGATACCCAAACACATAAAATCTTTGACTAAGCTTCGACGAAAAGGGGTCGGAAAAGTATGCTTTTTTTACCACATATACGCATATGGGATATCGCGGGAGTGTCCGTTTCACGGTAAGGAAGAGCAGAAAGGCTCCTTATTCCGAGAAAATACAAGTGGTTGAAGGACCTTTGGTGGTATACCACTCGAAAGCGCTGGATAATTAGTATTAAGAATTCATGTAGACCCTCTTTTCCAGTGTAATGTGATTGGCGAATTAAAAAAGGCAGTGTCCCGGCGCTGCGTGAGAACCCACGCCTGACACGCACAGCCTCTGTAAGGGAAATATCTTGAGATGGGCGCAGAGAGAAGAGAGAACAGCTAAAAACGGATTTATTTTTGTGCTACTGGAAAATCTACTGAGCTTGCTATGCGTGCTATATGATAGTTATTGAACATTTTCACTTAACCCAGAAGACTTTCGCGACTTCATTTTTGAACTGTATAACATCAATTGCCTCTGTTCACAAGTTCTTTACAGTGAAGTAAAATTCATGGAATGGAGAGGCTGCACTGAGTTTACAATGTAGAGCGTTCCCAAAGTTTGGCAGAGATTTTTCTGAAAAAAAAGATTTCTCCCTTCCATCAGACTCGTATAGACTAACCATTGTTTATCGCCGGGGAAGGGGTAGGAGGATTTTGTGGGATCACGTGGTTTTCAGGGGGGAAGGGAGTGGGGCTCAGTCGTCACTAACAGAGTATAGAGGGGACTATAGAAAATTGACTGCCAGTAAGAAAGGATCGGTATTATCCTTAAAGACCTTTGGGGGGGATCAGGTAAATTTTCTTGCGACACAGCTAAAATCCCCGACCCCTTCCGCCCCCCGCCCCTCGCTGTTAAATAATGACCGGTTCCTCATCACAAAAAAAAATTTGACGGGAAGAGATTGGGACGAGATGGGGCGTGTATTGACCTTTGACGCGTTTGTTCTCTCCACTTTCGCAATCACACGGTCTTACGTACGCGCATTGGATGCTCCTCGAGCAATGAAAGATGTGCTATCCGATTTATCCACATCTCCAAAAGAAGAGATGTTCTCTCTACACTGCTAGCAAGTACAGAGTCTACTTGTGATGAGACGGGGTGTATGGGTGTGTACTTCGCTATCCCTCTACGTTCTTTAGTAAGACCGTAAGAGAGAGACGTGGAACGGATTCAGTTTGGTGCGTTCCCAAGTTGTGGCCTTGTAGCTCAGTAGGTCGGGTTTGAATCCTGTCGAAGCCTGAATTTTTCCAGACTTCTCTGAAATTGCTTTATTTAAAACTCACCTGCGAGGATCATAGCGTTACTTCTTAATCATTCGCAAGTGTGAAAATGCTATTTATTTTGTTTATAAAAAAAGAGAAAACCGATACTCAGTTCCGAAACATCTTTTTATTTAAAAGATAAGATATTTTGTTCAATCGCGCACAGTAAGACAGTATGACCCTTAAACTGTAAAATTGGGGAATATAGAATGTAACACGATGGTAAGGGATTTGTGGCAAAGCTGCTTGGAATTGAAAATCCACTAACTTGGGTCAGTTTAGAGGCTCGAGGATCTGCGAGGATCATTATATGATACGTAGTTTTTTTATCATTGTAGATCAACATGCCATTCATTTGATTTAATTGTGAGAGGGAAAAGCGGTCCTCAGGTCCGACTAATCAGCTCTTATCTTTCGTACAATCGCGCACTGTGTGACCCACACACTGTGAACTTTTAATTAAGGAAACCTACAGTGACAAATTATGGGTAAGGGATTTTTGACAAAGATCCATCGAGTTGAAAATCCAATAACTTGCGACAGTTTAGAGGCACAATTACGTAATCCAAATGAAGGGAATTTACATTAATAACCAAGATACTTGATATGAAGTTTACTCTCCTCTAAATGTCAATATGCTTAGTGTGGGATCCTTTTTGGAGGTCAAATCGTAAGCCGACGTTTTACTGACCTTGAAAAACGATTCCTATGCAAAAACGTTGTTTCGGATCTTTCGACTTCATACTTATCAAACTAAAGGGTTATTGGAGTGACTCGGTGGTCCCACTTTAGCTTGTATTTCACCATTCATCTTAAAAATAATTTCATACGCGTAGACCGAGGGCAATCTTGCCACGACCAGTGAAACCAAATACGCGAGGAAACCTAGCATGTCGTTTGCATGCCGTGTGTAACAGTTCAAACTGATTTGATGCATGTGGGGTCGCCCTTTTGACACACTGTCTATTGTTTCTAAAATCGTCGCGGTATTATTTTTACATGGTCTGGGTTTTAGATTTTATGCCGTGCTTAGTGTCTCGAATATTGCACCATCTTAAGTTGGTGTTGGTTTCTCTGGGGACATACCTTGGTCTTGTCTGAAGTATTGAATTGTTAACTACGTACAGTTACTGACTTTGGATTGCCTGGCGCAATGTTTAGCAAGTGACAACAAGTTCAAGCGTGCATGCACGGAGACAGCCGCCCCCAATCCGCCTCTATCACCGCTGGTTTCACTTTACTATGCATTCCAAACGATCTACTTGGAAAGAAGAGCAATAATTATCGCCTTGTGTGAAAGCTGGAGAGAATTTGAAGGAGTGCATCGATTTTGTGCGGAATAATTCAACCGAGTTTAATATGCAATAATTGACTCTGTCGCGAAAGGTTCTTTGATGTCTAGACAGCCAAGAAAAAAAAAGCCAATTTGTTTGTTTTAATCGTTGGAGTAAACTCGGCTCAAGGCATGTTCCACACGACAACGACGACAAAAACTGATGGAAGCTGTTTTAAAACGAAGAAAAAAGTCATTTTCCTTTTAATATCCGGTGTGTTATTAATCGTCCTTGGCACTGTGAGTCTCTGCAAAGCTGTTGCATGGATACATTCCATAATCGACTCGAAGCTTGTGATTAAACCGAGCTCTCCTATTTACCAGCAATGGAGATCACCAACTGTCCCTGTTCTAATGCAGTTCTATGTGTTCAATGTAGAGAATCCGATGGAAATGAAACAGGGCAACCGTCCTTGTGTTAGTCAGAAAGGACCGTATAGTTACAGAGTATACCAGACGAAGGAAAACATTACATGGAACAAAAATAGCACTGTATCCTATAATAAATTTACCAAGTATGTCTTCGATGTCGATAGCTCGTGTTCGTCTTGTAATCCTCACACTGATAATGTCACGCTCCCAAACATACCGCTTGTTATTCTTTCCCAAGTTTCCAAAAAATATCCCGGTGCATCTTTGATATTCAGCATGATTTTCGCTCGTTTTAAGGAAGAGTTCTTCAGGGTTAACACAGTTGAAGAATTACTCTGGGGATACAAAGATCCCGTGTTTGAGTTTTTTGCTAACCTCAAGCGAAAATTTCATTTGTCTTTCCTTCCGGATATTGATCCTATATTCCGAATGATGGAGAATAATACTTACGATGGCGTTACAACCACTTACACTGGAGCATCAGATATCAGCCGTGCTGCAGTTTGGACTCGATGGAAGGGAAGATCTGATGTAGGTTTGTGGAAATCTCGTTGGGCAAACATGTTCAATGGAAGCGATGGCATGCAATTTCCACCTCAAACCAGTACAGGAGACATTCTCTATGCGTTTTACGTACAACTCTGCAGGTCCATGAGCTTTGTTTTTGACTCTCACACAAATATTGATAGTGTGAAGACATTGAGATTTACGAACCCAGAGGAACTGTGGCAGAACGCGAGCGTGAACCCGGCCAACAAAGGCTTCTGTCCCAATGGATGTTTTCCAAGCGGCATTCTCGATGCAAGTGTTTGCAAAGGCCCCTCTGCCGGTTCCGTACCAGCCATTGTGGCGTCTCAACCGCATTTTTATCAAGGCGACCCATCTCTTGTAAAAAATGTTGAAGGCCTGAACCCAGTCAAAGAAGAACATGGTACCTTCTTTGACATTGAACCAAATTTTGGCCTTCCTCTTCACCTGAGTTTACGGCTTCAACTCAACTTGAATATTGAACATGTAAAATTCTTGGTGCAAATGGCCGGTGTCAAGGAGGTGATCTTGCCCATAATGTATTTTAACAACACCGTGAAAGTGGATGCATCGTCTGCGAACAAAATGAAGAGTGTATTGATTGCCATGAGAGCTGTCCCTTTTGTCTCTGTAGCGTTGATTTGCATCGGAAGTATTGAAGTTGTTGTTGCCATTTGTTGCATTGTATCCAAGAAATGGAAATACAATAAACATGCAATACGCGGATTGTCAAGCTTAAACAGCGAAACAGAGCCACTTGTTACTTCAAGGAGATAAACCTCAATGGATAATACCGAATATTTTCGTAACTAATATTTTACGCATCTCCGTATGACTATACGACAATCGCGTGTTTTCAACCTTTCTAACTACCCTTAAGGGGAAAGGGGTGGGGCGTGCATGGGGAGAGAACTTCCTTCACGGTCGTACCCTAGTCTTCTTCGTTTGCACTTTGATTTCCTTCTTCCTCCTCTGTTGTTAGACGATTAAAAATCAAATGACTCCCAAATGTTGGTCTTGATGTATTTCCCTTCCGTTTGCTACCTATTGTTTCAATTCCCCTCCCCCTCCAAATTTCCTGTAACAGTTTCTTGTTCAGACTTCAGCTCTTTGTATTTCTTCAATGTTACATTACCGGAGGGAATGGGGTGGGGGGAAAGGGCGGGATGATGACTAACGCACCGAATTGATTGGCTAACTGCCCTATTTATCGATTAAGCGCTTGACCGATCGGTTGCCAGTCTCCTTCGTAGCCTCTCTTTTCGATGTCACGTAGCGCTTCCCCATAAACCGTTGACATCCCATAGAGACTAATAGATTGCTCCTTTAAAAAAATGGCCCGGTTATGCGGTTGGTTGGGTAAATGTTTGATTGATTCATAAGGTTGACTGATTCACCGATCATAAAGCGTATGAATTGACAGCGTGGAAACTTGAAAGCGAGCCAAGAATATGCAACTCGCACTTGCCAGTTGTTCTTCACAATTGTCATTTGTTTTGCATATCTGAAAATCAGGGGCGGCATGTGCGCAGTGAAAGCTTGAAAGATTTTGTAAAGCCACTAACAGTGGTTCTAATTACATCCGAAGGGTCTAGTAAAATTTCTTATACAGAAATGACTATGAATATTTCTAGGAATAAAATAAAAAAAATATTGTAGAATTTATTAAACCTATTGTGCTACGAATAATTAGCTACTGTTTTCTCTCACAACGGCGAAACAAAACAACCCCACCTACAACAACACTAAGAACAAAAACACCATGGTGGAGCTTTGGATGTACAATTGAAATGAATTAGGTGCTGATATTGTAAGAGTCAATATTGTTGCTTTGCCCATTTTTGAGGAGTTGGGAGCTAGTCCTGGGATGTCCGAAAGTGATTGGCATGTAAAGTCTCCTGGGATTTCTTATTACAGTCAGGAAGAAAGGTTACGAGAAAGCAGAAAGATATCTACCCAACCCTTTAACTCCCAAGATCTCAAGAATAATTCTCTTTACTGTCTGACATAAAGTTCTTATGATGTCAATTTGGAGAATTTGGCATTGGATCAACTAATAATCCCCTAATTTATATTTTACTTTATTCTCATCTTTTCTATGCTTGATATTTTATTGATATTGTAAGGAGAAATTCTCTCTTAATCACTCATGGGAGGGAAAGGGTGAAGGGTATGGTCTCTAAAATATCAAATCGTGGGTATGAAAGAGTGAATCGGCGATAAGGTAGTATGTAAACCTCGCCTGTGAAGTCCACAGGGGAGCTCTTTGACCTCTTTGGCACGAAGGTAGCTTTTTACCGCAGATTATTTTGTGGTAAATGAGTTAAAAATATCTAATTTGTCCTACAGAAACGAAATCATGGTACTTTTGTCTCGTGAAGACATCTTCTCCTCCCGCAATAATTTATCTCTGCACGAAGAAGAGCTTGACGTGAACAGGTTGGATTACTACCAGGTGAACACCAGGAAATGCAGATAAAACGCATCAGTTAAACGATTAAACACGTTAATTACACGATAAAACAATAATTTCACCATGAACAAGATAATTATGCATAAGGATTGTTCATTATCGAGGGAAAAAGGAAACAGTTTTGTCCCCCACAAGGGGTCAAATTGGTTTTCGTGTTCGGATGCTTCTCCGCAGAGCCACAGATAAATCAGTTAGATCAATGAGTTAGACCATAACCTACAGGCACGTTTAATAAGCGTTCTGTCTACGGCTAGGATTAGCAATGGTGGAAGTCTAGTGTGTGTTAATTCTTAGCAAAGATGGTGATGTGATTTTTTATCTTGTTTTGTTTTTTTTATCTTGAGTTCGATTCCTTGCGGGGGGACCTGGATTTGTTTGTTGTTCCACATTTGTGATCAAACTAGTGACAGTTTTTTTCGTTAATCATTTATCAATTGATGAGATACCATCGAACATACATTTTGCAATACTGTAAGATAAGTTTGTACACGGCCAACTTTCTTTTTAGCGTAGTGTTTCCACTGAATTCCTTCTCTCCATGCTGTTGTAGATGCACCAGGGGTATCATCGTGATGCTGAAGGACTAAATGCCCAGTTGGAGCGTTACGCTGGGGAGCCGCGTTTCCAAGAGATGTTTATTGATCTGGTATGTTACGTATTCAACAAGATTATTGTCAACCGTGTAGAGTTACAAAAAAGAGGGCTATTGACGTGTTTTCCTACTCTCAGCAACAGTAAGATGTTACGTGGTTACATAGCAAATATCTTCACTTGTTACCAGGGTTTCTCTTCATTCCCTTGTAAGTTAAACGTTTTCGGAATTAGAAAGCCATTTGATGAGTTTTTCCTGCTCTTAGCTATACTATCACATCACCTTTCTCCATTCAGGAGTGACAGTGGGTACTGGCAAATTTTCGAGGAAACATAGCAAAGAATTGGGTGTTACGTGAGATGGAGACCATCCAGCCAAGGGAAAGGTTCAGTAACCTTACTCGCTTCATGTAGCGAAAACCGGGATAAGCTCTGGCCGTTATTGGCGATCGTTTCGTTGTTAAGACTAAACAAACTCTAACAGTGTTATTTTCTCTGTTTTAATAATTTCCAGTCTCCTTATGTGAACCACTCGGCCCCAACTGTTCAGGAGACATTCTCTCTTCACCGAACGTATATTATATTCCGAACACTAGGGTTGAGGTATGTGGTAGTCTAGAATTGAAATATTTCAACAAATATGATTAAGCCTATTCATCTCTTTACCATTTGGAAAATTTAGAAGTCAATGAGCTATCTCCTCCTCTACCCGCCGGGCCTGCCCCCTACCCCCGAGAACTTAATGGTGCGCTTACGATATCTCGTTACAAAAAACTTATTTGGATTAACTTTGTATGAATTCTCTTCTCTCTTTTTTCACAGGCATTTGACGGTTGTAGACCAAAAGAATAGGTTTGTCGTAAACTATAAAGCTAATTGCTTTTCTTCTTAGCCGAGTATGACTATCATCAGCGACACAATTTTTTAAAAATTTTGCAGTCAGACGTAGAAGTTTTTCGAAGTTTTTTTAGAAGTTTCGCCTAAAACAAGGCATCAGAATTTCGTCATATATTCGTTTTTTTCCTTTATTGTTTAGTTGTTTCCTCGTTATCTTAGTTTTTCCAGCAGATAAATTGGTTAGATCGTATAATCCTTCCAAAATATTTTCCGTAAGAGACATCGCCGCCTCCTGTGCATCGTAATAAAGAATTCAGTTGAATTTTAACAGTTTGTTACCTTCAATCTGCTTTGATCATTTCCATCGTCGGCTATCTTTGTGTCTCTATAGCTCCATTACGGTGCATCCGCGTTGAAGTTCATCTAAGTTACTCTAATATTTTGTCTTGCCTTAGGGTGCGGGGAATAATTACGCGTAAAGACCTCATGGGATTCCAGATGGAGGAACGAATTCACAAGTGTCTTCACAACCCACACCAGGCCCAAGAAATGCAGTCACCGAGCTCGTCATCAGGGCACCGACCGAGCGTAGAGGCTTGAAGCGACTCCTGTTAATTTTCAGTTAGATCGATTGGACTCGACATTTCGCGCTTGGTTCGCGTTTGCGAACCACCTTAACAGTGGATCAATCACAGGCAAATCTAAAACCAATCGCGACCTTATGACTCACGTTTTCTTGCGCCTCACGAAGTTGGGTCGTTTTTAACCAGATTTTCCATTGACGCCTATTGATATTTTCCTTCGTTTTGATTGGCTGTTGCGATTACTTCGTTTTCGGTTTTTCTGCGCAGCCAATCGACAAGTGTGCTAATGATGCAAACTTGTTCTCCTTACAAATTCATCACTGCGAAAACTAAGGGAAAGTTTAGGAATCAAATTTGGAAACCTGTCCCTAAGGAATTAGGCTGACAAGAGGAAGAAATAAAGAAAGTTGATGCTACATTTACTTTAGCAAAGTTTGCTTGTCCAATGACAATTCACACACCCGTAGGTGATCAATATATCGTGTTTTCTGATTGCAGGGTTTTAATTAAGAGAGGACGTTGTTCTTGGTGTTTTTCCTTTGAAAAGCAATGGAAAGTATCATGTACTCTTTATTCGTAAGGTTGTTCAACTTGTAGACAAAACTTGAAATGACTATGGCCAACGCATTGATGTAATTTGAGATTTAGTAATGGATAGATATTTTGATATTTTTATTAGTTTACTCTGAGATTGGTCTAAAAATGTTGTATTAGTCGTGAAAAACTTGCAAAATTATTTTTTTAAGATTTAGAAAAGTTTATAATATCGCCAGGTATTTACTGTTATACCTGTTTTACGAAAGAAAGAAGAATAAGAATTGAATAGTTGAAAAAGTGAATTATGTTTAGAGTTATTTATCTTGTAAGTTTTACACAAACGAAATCATACTTTTTCTTTTTCAGATAGAACGGAATTAATGATTTTTTATGTATTCATCAATTGTATATTTAGATCGGGGGAAAAAGCTATTATGTGGCTTCATATAAGAACAAATATTAGGGATTGTTATAAATGAAGCAAATAAATTTCTGGAAGTATTTAGAAAGCAGTTGCTTATGACATGATGGTAGGATTTTTGAGAGCTTTCGGAAAATCTTCTCGGAAGATTCTCCGGGGATTCTGGTGTGGTTAGCAATCTCTAGGGAAAACTGTGGACTTAGATCGTTCAAAAAGATTTGAACATTCCTTCCTGTGCAGTTAGCTTTTACCCCTTGACTGTTTTTGAAATGTACTTGTAAATGGTGATAGGTTCTCAATCTAATACCGGCGTGAGAGTATGTAAGCAGTCATATCACCCACGGCTTCGCTCTGACAAAGGGCTAACGCTCTAAACGTCATCTTAGAAACTCTTTACTGTGGCAAATTTACATTATCAATTGAGTTGACGAAACCAAATTATCCTTGTTAGCAGTCAGTTTGGGAGTGACTATGGAAAGATTAAGGAGAGGCTGACTTTTGAATACGGGGAGACTATGACTACTGAGTGACTATGGAGAGACTGACAAGTGACTACAGGAAGACTGACTAGTGACTACAGGGAGGCTTTGACTAGTGACTATGGAAAGAATATGACTGGTATCTACGGGGAGACTGTGACTAATGACTATGGGAAAACTATTACTAGTTACCGCGGAGAGAAGACGACTTTTGACTATGGGGAGATTGTGACTAGTGACTACGGGGAGACCATGACTAGTGAATACGGGGAGATCATGACTAGTGACTACTGGGACACTCTGACTAGTGACCACTGGTAGACTCTGACTAGTGACTACTGGGAGACTCCGACCAGTGACTACTGGGAGACTATGACTTGTGACCACGGGGAGACTGTGACTAGTGACTACGGGGAGACTATGACTTTTGACTACGTGAAGACTATGACTAGTGACTATGGAGAGAGTGAAAATATTAGGATGCCCTACAAGTTGTCTGTTTTCAGGGAAATTTCATAGCCGCGGGTTTCATTTGAAGGGAATCTAAAACGATAATGCGGTTTTGTTCGTAATTTAGGAGTACTTTATTTTATAACGTGTCACAACCTGCTCCTAAGGAACATTATGTCAAATATTTAACCCTTCATTTTCGAAAAAAATTGGAACTTTTACTCATATTTTGTACACGTGATAGGTTCCCTTCTTTCCCACTCCATTCCAACAGTTTCCGGAAGGTCCGTACTTATTGTACGTGTTTTCGGCGTCCAGTCCACTCCAACATTCGCCGTAAAACTGGATTCCAAATATGGGAAGGCCACGCTCTTTGGCGATCTCTGCGCATGCCCGAACGATTTTCGTCATGTCATTCCAATCGATATTGTTTCGGAAGCTTTTTAGTAGCAACGGGAGGGCGTGGGGAGTACCGTCTTTAAAACAACCAAGTGAATTGTACTCAACTGAAAGGAAATTGTACCAAATCAGTAAGTTTCTTGATAAGTAATTCTTATGTGACTTAGCTCCATTAGCTTCCTTCTTATAAATCTTCAATTCGCAAACCTGGACAATCACGAGTATTGCATGCTCTTGTTTCAATATTTGAACCAGGGCACACGCTGTCACAAGTTGTAGAGTTGATCGGCAGGAGCCCAACACACACACGCATGCGTTTTTGGACACCAGGACCACCACAAGTCTTACTACATGGGTACCAGTCTCCCCACTTGCTCCATCCGAGGTATGCTGAAAAATAAAAATATATGTAAATAATGATAATAATGCACAGCGTATAATTTATTTTTACCCCAGCAAAAATGTGATTGGTGTCAAAATTGAAGTAATTGTAATCAATACCGGTAAAGGGAAGATGGTTTGTTTAATTAAACTAGACTCTAATGATGACTTCCTCTTAAGGTTGTCAAAACGTCAGTCACTGCTACCGACAGCAATCCTTTTTGGAACTACTCTCTCAAAGAAGATCAGACCGCATGAACAAGTTTTACTCCTGACCTGGATTCAAACCATTTATGTTACACATAGATAATACGAAACGTTGAAACTAGGTTCACTACTCAAGACTGTGGATTGTTCAAAAAGAAATTGTGACAGTGTCTTGAGGAGCAGATGTGTGCTTACAGTAACAATTATATTTCTGATGTCATTTTTTTTCTCAATTTTATTAGGTAGAGTTCCCCACGACAAGTATTATTTTGCATACCATTGTTAAGTCCAAATATTAATCATGATCCTCAGCCAAGGCTTGTTTTTCAGGGTAATTGTATAAATAACAAGTAGCTTAGTGAAACATCCTGCTAATCCGATAAGATTAAAATCGTTCTTCACAATTTTTCGAACAAAAATGAAAAATTCTTTTTCATTAAATCAGCGCGAAAGAAGTGGATTAGTAGACTTCCCCTTAAAATAAAGCTTTTCTCTTCAATCAGTTTTATCAGAATTGACTGATGTAATTGAAATAGATCTTTTATTATCCTTGACACCTCTTAACATGTCTGCACTGGCTTACTGAGAGAACGGCGGGCACCTGCATGGAAATTTTTTACACCGATAATGAACATGTAGCAACTCGAACATTGGAATAAAAACTTACTTATCATCTAGAGATTATGATCCAAGTTTACTTAAATTGTAAAGGGGAAAAAAAGGAATTTAAGTTTTAAAGGAATCTTGCGTTATGTAACTAAAATTAATTTCATAGTGAGCTGACCTGTTTCGCAACAGTCACCGATGTAGTTAAGCGGACACTGGCAGCCCCATCGAGCGGGGGTCCCGCCATTTTGACACCAACGGTTGCATGGTCGCCACTCCTTTGCTATTAAATTCTGACACGATCCAGCACCACATGACGACGGCTGATGCACGACCCTATTTCTTGACTGATAGCCGTTTAACCCACACGGAGCTGAACACTGGTTCCATGTGGTCCACTGACTTGTTACGCACTTGTCGCATCGCGGTGCATCACACATCCAACATGATTTCTTTTGAAATGGTCGAGAATTCGCTTCGACATGAAAGTGGCAAAGATACAACAGACCAACCAGTGATATAATCAAAGTAAGGTGGGAAACCATTTTTCAGTTTCAAAACTCAGATGGTTTGGTTTGAGAATAAGAAAGGTACTAGACACAACGTGTGATCCCAACACTTGATTTGTTTGATCTTTTTTCATTACTTCCTCAAATCGAGTCGTAATGTTTAGTTATTATATTTGTCGTGATTAAACACTTATCGTTTTATATCAGAAGTGTCCTTTACGTTGAATTTCATATGCAAAAAATTTGACCAATTAACAGAAGATTACCTGAAATTTAATTAATTTGCCTCTTTTATAAGGAAACAATCGATGCTTGGAACGATGCATTTTAAAATCAAAACGTGGAGAGGTTTATATAAGTGTAGGAGCCAAAATGAAAGAAGTTGACGTTTTTCATACAAAATGTCTTTATCGACGCTCGAAGTCACCTTTGTTCAAGCTGGTTTCCAGTTTCTTTCCCCACTCGCAAGAAGAAAAGGAGGGAGACTGAGTGAAAGGTTTGAACACCCCTCCAACATATATATGTTTCAATGTTTTGACTCGGGGGCGAGTTGAAGATGAGTTGATTACAGACAGCTTCTCTTCTGCGTTTTCATGCATGAATCGAGACAATATTTTGGTCCACCAAAATGCAAAAAGAGAAAATTTAAAAGCTCGAAAATGAATAGAAATAAGGCTAATATCCTGCCCTCCCGACGAAAAAGGTGGGAAAAGAAGTGCTCTTTATAAGACTACGAACCCTTGCGAAATATTTTGGCGGAAATCCAGCGGGTAATCGCGAGCGGTTACGTTGGATCCTTCGTTCATGGGTGTACCCAACTAAAAAAAAAAAGAAACAGGATTCGCTTAACCTTCCCCGCCGACTTATTAAATTAGTAATAGCATGAGGCGTTTCTCAAGGCTAAGAGGGACGGTCATAACAATTTACATGATATCTTTTTTATCGTGCATTTATTCTTAAAATAACTTATGGATTTCCCCTTGCTCGTTCCTAACGAACAAAGATATCGCTTGTCGTTCAATGTTCCTCTTCGACCAAAAGAAATCTTGTAGCAAAACTTAACGGATAACAGAGACTCACTAAAACACTGCCACAAAAATTTTAAAACACCATTTATTTAGTTATGAACTTGAGCCATGGCATGCCTTTCCATTGGTACATTACAAACACAAAGACGTCCCACATATCAAAAAGGCAAACAGAAGCTCCAAAAGCTTATGAACTTTAGTGCTGTTTACCGAAAAAGGAAAAAGAGAACAGACTATGTCGATAATATGAGCATCTTAACGTCGAATTTCTTTGAAGATATTTCACACGTCACGAAAGAGCTAGATTATTCGCAAACTACTAAAATGTACGTCTCCAATGCTTCTCGGTGTCTTTAACCTGTAAAAGAAAAAAAGTGTCAGTGATAATGTCAGAAAAGACCAGTAATCGGGAATCCTCTTTCCAGAAGACATAATAATGAGTCCTTTTTTTCTAGCAGCTAATCAAGAAATGTTTTGAAGCTCCAAAGTGGGTTCATATCTCATGTAATCGACCGCGAGCAGTCCCAGCCAAACCAAGTCAATGCACACTACCTTCCGTTACGTCATCAGCAGGAGGTCCGTTAGGGCAGGGTTGGCAGTTACAACTCTGAGAGTTATCAGTCTTCCCTTGACATTTTTCATTCCCCTGCCCATGCCCGCACTTGCAATAACGGACCCTGTATTTCTTGCCACAGCTGCAAACTTTACTGCAGTTGCTCCAGTCACTCCATTCGCTCCAACAGTCGTCACCTGAGACCGAGAACCAATTGTAACCGATCACCAGTGCTGGGGAGTGTGTCAGTGACTGAGTTCTAGCGAGGTCATATTACACGTGTGTTTGGATGCATATATACTTAATTCACCAACTCCCCCGAATGGAGTTTCACAGGATCAATACTAACAAATTGGAAACAAGTGCTTTTGAAAACCTAACTAGCAGGAGGTTCACTTGTTGGCTATATACAAAGGGCAGCCAAGGAGTTGAACACAGGGCAACCTAGAACAAATCAATTGAGTATCAGGGTGAAGGGCTTGAACCTGACGCCATCAGATAATAGGACCAGTGCCCTAACCACTTGGCTGCACGGCCTCCATCAAATGATCTATGATTTCATATTTTCACACCGCCCATCATCAGAATAATTTCTAATCGCCATAAGCAAACACCGTAGTTTCTCTTCATCCCAGGGGTTGTGAAAAAGAAAAAAAACTCCTTTGAACAAGGAGACGACAGAATATCGAGTAATTGTGAGTTTCCTTCTGGACGAAAGTGAATACGTTTTTCACATAACATAACTGCAGCAAACCAACTTTTACCTCTTGCTTCCCTCGTTTTTAAGGAAATAAGTGACACTTTTTGAGATGAGAATCAAGCCTGGCCAATTTTTAAAAAAGGCTGTTCTTAAATAAGCAAGCGATCGTTAGTTCGTTACGTACTGTTTGGACATGATCCTTCGTTACAAGGCCTGTTCGCAAAGGGAAGTCCTACACATGGCTGGCCGCCGGGGCTTGGGGCTGGGTTATCACATTTCCTGCTTCTAATACTAGTGCCAGGCCCACAAGTTACACTGCATGCGCTCCAAGCGCTCCAGTCTCCCCAGCCGCCGTCAACTGCAATTGAGAGAAGAGAAGTTGTTATCTTTCTCAATTTAAAACGTACTTCGCTCAAGAAAAGACTGAGATTTGGAAAATGATGCTTTTATCCAATCCGAGCAATCATTTTCCTTTGATTCCAGTCATAGCAAGGAGAGATATGTGCTCCTGGCTTGAAAGAAAATTGCTTCACCATTGACCATGACACTCTGAAAACGACATGCAGTCCGTTCCCAAATCCAAGCAAGGAAGTACTGCTCGTCAAAATAAATTCAAAACCATTCTATACTACCTCATTGGTTTGGTTTTTTTATTATTTTTAGTTTTTGAAAGCTCAACTGGCAAGGCATTCATTTGTTTGCTCTATAAAAAAGGGCAGCCAAGGAATTAAACACAGGACAATCGAGAACAAAACCATTAAGTAGCGGGGTGGAGAGCCTGAACCTGGCACCATCAGATTACAAGACAAGCGTCCTAACCACTCGGCCGCACTGGTTCCATCAATGATCTATGATTTCATATTTGTCACACTGCCCATCATCAGAATAATTTCTAATTGCTATAAGCAAACACCGTAGTTTCTCTTCATCCCAAGGGTTGTAAAAAAGAAAAAACTCCTTTGAACAAGGAGACGACTCAATATCGAGTAACTGTGAGTTTCCTTCTGGACCAAAGGGAATACGTTTTTCACACAGTTTAACTGCAGCAAACCAACTTTTTACCTCTTGCTTCCCTCGTTTTAAAAATATTTTATGCATTCGGCGGCAATAAGTGACACTTTTTGGGATGAGAATGAAGCTTGGATTTTTTAAAAAAGGCTGTTCCAATACAAACAAGCGAGTTAGTTTGTTACGTACTGCTTGGACACGATCCTTCGTTGCAAGGCTTGTTCGCAAAGGGAAGTCCTGCACATGGCTGGCCGCCATTGCTTGGGGCTGGGTTATCACACTTCCTGTTTCTAATGCTAGTGCCAGGCCCACAAGTTACACTGCATGCGCTCCAAGCGCTCCAGTCTCCCCAGCCGCCGTCAACTATAATTGGGAGAGAAGGAATTGTTATTACTCTCAATTTAAAATGTACATCGCTTAAGGAAAGACTGAGATTTGGAAAATGATACTTTTATCCAATCCGAGCACAATTATTTTCCTTGGATCTCAGCCATAGCAAGGAGAGATACGTTTGAAAGAAAATCGCTTCACCCAGGAAGTGTTGCTCGTCAAAATAAGTTCAAAACTATTCTATACTACCACGTCGGTTTGTTTGTTTTTATTTTTCCAGTCATCAGAGGGCCTTTGTGCGGTATGATCTTGTAAATGTGAAATCGCGTCTTCATTGTAGATCTGTAATAAGACCGTTTTAAAATTGAACCCCCTTTAAACGTCTCTTGAAGAATTGTGAGATTGGTTAAAATGCAATGTCCACACATACCAGGACAAAGTCCCTCGTTACAAGGCTTGTTTGAGAGAGGAGGTCCCTGACAAGGTTGACCACCGGGGCCTGGGGGTGGATTGTCGCATTTCCTACTCCTGATACTAGTGCCAGGCCCACACGATACACTGCATGCGCTCCAATCGCTCCAGTCTCCCCAACCACCATTAACAACTTCGTCAATACAAGAAAAATGTTGGAAATAGTCAGGTTAATTAAAATCACTTTCGGGAGATACACTTTGATCTCAAACATAAAATTACAAAGCCCATATTTTTGGAATCTTAAACTAAGCTATGCGGGTAAAATTTTGGTATTTTCAACAAAATTTGGAGAAAAAGACTTAATCAAGAGCTAACCCGAAAGAGCTAAATCAAGGAAACAAAGGAGAGAGGTTTTTGCGTAGTATCTTAGGGTTCTAACTAGAAATCAAGCACTTCCTACGGTAGAACAACCTAACCACTGTGGGAGTTATTATGCTACCTTTTAAGAAAAAAAAAATCACAATAATTACTTCTCAAGGTGTGTTACTTTTAATGGGCGAAAATAAGTTGGCGCCAAACTCAATTTTTTTTTCTGACGGAAGCTGAGCTGAGCTTTCAAAAAAATACCACTGAGCCGAATGTAAATGAGATAGACTTTTTCGATATTAAGGAGACAGATTTAGTTGCTTACCGGCAGGACATGATTGTGTGTTACACACGCGAGTCTCTTCATTTGCGCCTGCGCAGTCACCATATCCCTGGCTGTAACCTTGACATTTCCGTTTACGATTCTGTGTTCCGCCACCGCAGGTTTTGGAGCATGCTGACCATGCACCCCAGGAACCCCAACTAACATAACCTAATTATAAACGTAAGAGGGAATTATTCATTTATAGGGAATAGTATTAATTAGATTGGCCTTCACTGTGGGCCTTCGTGCTAGATCGGCATAGTCTCGTATCTAGACCTTTCACGGCCAGGCAGTTATGATTACACGGAAGGATCTGGGTACGAGGTTAAGAACGGCTAAATTCTTATGAAAGAGTCAAATCTGTACAAGAGATATCTGAAAAGTGAAGAATTGTTGAACATAAAAGCTTTGCTGGTTATTCCTTTTTTCTGTGTGGATATAGTGGAAGGCTAATAGCGTCTTTGTGCTTTCGATCCTTTTAACGCTGAAATTAAAAGGGGAGATTGTGGATGGATATGGCCGAGCAACGCTCGCCTACATTTTCTGCCTGAAAAGTTTGCACTGTAATCTGAACTGTACGAATAATTATGTCTAAGACTGTAGATGTTTACATTATTCGTGAACATGAAAACTCTGTGCTTACTCGGACAATCCTTAAGCAAACACGACTTGGTCTGTTTACTCGGCCCAGTGCACGCTTGTCCTCCATGCTGGGGCGGAGGATTGGAACAAGATCGCCTCCTAGCCTTGGTTCCAGACCCACATGTTTTAGAGCAGTCTTCCCATGTCGACCATAGTGTCCAACGACCGTTTACTGAGGAAAAGAGAGGAAAGGAACGGAATAGTTTGATGACTTTTTTTGTTAATTTAAGATCCGAATTGTAAGACGCAAGCTGACTGATTCCAGAGACAAAGAATCCAGCTCAAGTGTTCTTTCTTGTTGTATTCGCTGTATGCTTTTTTGCATACCTGATGTTCAATCAGATTAAATTCAAATAAGTCCCTCTTCCAGCGATTTCTATTGACTCGTCGGACGAATTATGCTGGAGAAAAGACCAAGTGTGAGGCACAATCGGATATGACAACACTTACAGTGAGTATTTCTGCTATCGATAACGATCCACCTAATGGCAGCACACATTTCTCCGGCCTCACTGCACGACTTTGAACTTGCTTTATTGTTTACAGGGTGAGTATCCAACTGACCCAATTGTTTTTGCTTCCTAATGGAACGTAAAACGCAAAACAAAACAGTATCTAGCTGTCTTGCCTGGTAAATGTTGGGCAATAATTTTTATGTCACAAAATGACAATCTGTGTCGCCCCTGTTTCCAGTGGAAAACAAGATTCGCCTCAGTTTACCGAGGAACTGTGTATCTCTTACAGAATAGAATGAGAAATGTTATGTTTACTTGGGCAAGGATTTTTTATGCATTTCTTCGTCTGTTTACTCGGTCCAGAGCAGTACTTGCCGCCATATGCTGGTCTCGGTTTGTTACAATAGCGACTGCGGAATTGTGTACCAGTGCCACACGTCACAGAGCATGCGCGCCAGTGGCCCCACGCACTCCAAACGCCATTCACTAAGAATCAAATTTTCAACTTTCATATCAGTATCACTCTTTTGATTGAAACGACCCATTGGCACCGTACAAACTACTTATTCACAACAGGCGAACCGAACAGAACGACCTATTGCTAACTATGATAATTTTGGTATTATCAACTGAGCTGATAACGTAAATCGGTCCCCGTAAAGAGTTTCAAAGCTGACCTTTCGAGTATTAGCCCTTCGTCAGCGAAGCGTCGGCTGTGAAACTCTTTACGGTGGCCAGTTTTATATTATTAACAGATTTAATAAAATCAAAATGATCCTGTTATACTACTCCACCGACGCAGTGGTATAGTTTATTCAGAAACTTACCCTTTTGATTTCTAAAAATACCGACTTTTCGAAAACGTAGGGTACCTGAGTCTTACAACCAATGAGTTTGCGGCAAAAGTGACCAATCATATTGAACGAACTAAACTGTAGTGCTCGACTGATCGAAGGACGATCAGATATCGCAAGAGTTTGGAACTCTAAGGATGTACTGAAGAACATTGCTGACTTTGCGCGAGGACATCGAAATCTATGTACGACGAGATCAAATCGCACGTTTCAATATATTTGGACAGCATAAAAGTAATGCTTATCCAGTCGACCTTATCGCCTGAAGAAGACTACCTGTATACAGTCGAAACGTAGCGATCCACTTGAAGAGACTTCAAGGAATTTTCTTAGAGAAATTTTTAAAAAGCATTGTTGTTCAAAATTGCCGCCCTTAAACAATCTTTGCTTCGCTATTCTAAATAATTTCTTTCTTAAATAAACCACAAAAATTCTGACCTGGACATCTTTTCACCAGACACGTTTTAGTCTGAACACCCGGTCCAATGCACACTCCTCCATATTTCGGCGGGGGATTGGTACAGGTTCTACGGCGCGTTTGACTCCCTCCAGTCCCACAAGTCTTTGTGCACGCGGACCATTTTCCCCACAGTGACCAACGGCCGTTTACTACAAGAAACATAAATCATGGCGATAGGTTTTTATTGAGCTTTAAGCTTATATTCTTTTCAATTCAATTTAACAAAATATGTTACGGCCCGTAGTTTATATTGTAAAGTGATAACTTCAAAGCCAAAAGGGTTGTGGTATCCTATTAAGAACCTTATCTCGGAAGTAAACAGGATATCTGTTACACAATTGTAATTCAAAGCTCCAAGCTACAAAGCATCCTGAAATCACTAATCGGAAGGTCACATGTTTTGACTCCAATGAGGAGCAACTGGTCTACCTGTGACTCTCTGACTGAGAAACATCATCTGTCTTTACTTTTGATACATTCATTACCTGTAACTTTCCTGGAACAAAGTATTTTGGACTTAAGTAATTTCCTATGACACATTCGATACTGTGAAGATTACCGTTTAGAAAGATTTGCGTTAATAAACTTTCGATGGAAAATATAGTCAGGCAAATTCAATTTAGATTCATGGGCAATCTAAAGCTGCATATGTTTTTCTTTACCTTGCTTGTTGATTGGTATAAAAAACTTTCGTGCAAAGTTAAGTATAGTGGCGAATTAGTCCCTCACGTTTTTCGTGGCAGTTTTCTTTTCTTTACTTTGAGGTTTCATTGGATCATTTTGATATTTTATTATTAGATTATTTTTGCGATTACGTGCTTTTTTAATTGAGTGTAGTAAAACAAAAACCATAGGCAAAATAATCACAACGACCATTTAAATAAAAGCACGATAAAATTAACAGCCGATGAGAGCTCAAAGTAAAAACACGCAAACAGCTTCAAGCGCGGGAAAACTCGAATAACTTTGTCGCGATTGGTTTAAGTTTTTAATCTGATTGGTAGAGAAAGTGGCGCGAATTTCATGGACCAATCCCAAATCCAAACAAAACAAAACCAAAGCTATGCCGGTGCCCAATCAAAAATTATTCTATCCTAGTGTTGGTTTCGCCACACCCTTGTCTCGTACCCAGACTTTCCGCGACTAAGCGGTGGGCATTTTAGTTACAGTTAAACGATATGATCTGGGTACGAGATTACCACACGAACCAAAGTGGCCCACTAACCTGGGCAAGGATTGACGTTGCATGCCTGGGATCTCAAATTTGTCCCATAGCATTTCCTGCCGCCATATTTTGGCGCTGGAGTGTCACAACGTCGCTTGCTATAACGTTTTCCGGCTCCACAAGTTTTTGAGCATGCGCCCCAGTTTCCCCAATTGGACCATCCTCCATGAACTAAAAATGCAGAACGATTATGTCATATGGCTACTCATGATCATTTCGTAGATATTTAGGCGTTTTTTGTACGAAAAATAATGCTTTTGAGATAATCACAAAGAAAAGAACTAGTTTTCAAATTGACCGGAGATTTTCTTTAAACTTTCCTCAATTGTTACCCACAATATGGTTATCCGCAACATTTGATTAAAATAGTCAATGGGGATGGTTTATGATATATATATATAACTTAGTCAAAATATTTCTTACATCCTTGGAATTACACCTTAGGGAAGTTTCTCTCAATATGCTCACTTATGGTCTGCAGAAAAAGGAACGCTGCTTTTACTATGAAATTCAGAACACTATGAACACAGGAAATACTACTGAAACGTTGTTGTGTCGAGCAACAACCACCAATTAAACAGGGAGAAAAGGATATTGTGTTTTGCAGTTTGCTTGTCCGTACAAACGTCCTAATTTGTAACGTGGTCGGTGAAATGTGATACACACTACCCAAATATTTCAGGTGTTTAAGGTTTTCTGTGTTTAACAGCAATAAGGTCTTGAAAGAATAACTTTCTGAAGTGTTTATATGTATACTGATTCTTAGGAAAGGTGTTTTTTATGTTATAGTCACAGGTTCTAACAGATCATAATAATTTGTTCTCTAAAACATTCCACAAGTAATTAGCCCCGAGTAAATTTCTTTAGGATATCGGTATCCCTAGTCAACATGGAAATCATATCTCTTACCAGGACAGCGATGAATGTTACAACTCTTGGTCTGTCTGTTCACACCAGTGCAATGTTTGCCATTGTATGCTGGGGGAGGCTTGGTACAGGTCCTTGTTCGAAACTGTGACCCAGTGCCACACGATTTAGAGCAGGCCCACCATTTACCCCAGGGACCCCAGCCTCCATTTACTGCAAGTAATGCACACAGTTACAGATAAATGTCAGAAAATGTTTTCGCAGTTACCATAAATTTTATCAGTTGATGAGACGGAAATTCTAGTCCTAGAATTGGTACGAAAGACTCAGTCAAAACCAAGACTTTCAAGAGCCAAGAAATTACAGTGATTGTTTTAGTTAACATGTTGCTTACCAGGACAGCGCCGAGTGTTACAGTGTCTGGACTGCTTGGTTAACCCACTACACAGTTTACCACCATAGGTCGGGGGAGGCCTGGTACAGGTCCTTGTGCGGTGCTGCCATCCACTGCCACACGATTTAGAGCATTCGCACCATTTGCTCCAAAGACTCCAGCCTCCATTTACTGAAAAAAAAATCAAAAGAAGAAAAAGAGAATGGAAAGGTATGCCTTTCTATTTCTTACTAACGATATCTATACGGAGTAGCTGTGGTCACATTACAGTCCACTCAACGATATGGTACCATAAGAGAGCCGAGTAATCGTTTTGCTTAAGACATCAGGATATAAATCGATATTTGGATTATTTGATTGGTTCCTATCAGCCTTTGCCAACCAATTAACAGTCGCAGCTGATGCGGATTTGTAAAATGATCCCACTGATACTCCTATGATGACCAATCTTTTTATCAGCTTCCCTTCTTAGCAAATTTGCTTACAAATAAGGAATTGAAGCATGGTCCTTTTATAAAAATTTCTCTTTTTACCTGGACAAGTTTTAACATTGCACGATCGTGATCTAACATTTGATCCATAGCAGTTCCGCCCGCCATATTTTGGTGCAGGATTGTTACATTTTCGCTTGCTATATTGCTTTCCGACTCCACATGTTTTTGAGCATGCGCCCCAGCTACCCCAGGTTGACCATCTTCCATTAACTGAAAATGAGAAAAAAAATTGGCTCAGAGTTTCAACTGATATGATCGTTTCCCATATACATGAAATGACCGATAGCGTCTTGTTTACTTGTACAAACTAAATATTAAGAAACTAAAAAAAAAAACATCGAATTTTTATTTTTATTCCCTACCGGGACAGTGATGAGTGTTACAATTCCGAGTCTGTTTTTTAAGCCCAGTGCACCGTTTTCCACCGTATGCTGGGCGGGGCCTGGTACAGGTCCTTGTACGATACTGAATGCCAGTGCCACACCTTTTAGAACACGCCCACCACTTACTCCAAAGGCTCCAGCCTCCATTCACTTTAATGACAAATAAGTGGATCAGTTACAAAATAGCAGCAAAATATATGTATTTGGCTCCATGTGTTTCTTATTTTGACAGATGATTCAGTTATGCATAAACTCAATCATGCCTCTCAACTCAAGAAACGTGTTTGACGTTCGAACGTTTGCGATAGTTTGGAGCCAATAGCCGAGGAAGTATTCCTTTAGTATGTGATACCAAATCAAATTAGAATCAAACACAAATTTGATTATCTCAATTAAAATTAAGGTGACAGCCTAACTTAGTATCACTGTTTTGTTGATCCATAGTGGGCATCTACGATCAGCAGTAAGTTAACCCACTGATACAAGGTAAAGGATGTTAGGGGCATGTTTGCCCCATCATGTCTATCCTCTAAGACCAATGTTAACTTTGTGAGAAAACTCCTTCCCATTCCTCACTCAAGTCTAATCCGCCATGACCATAATGTCAATGCTTTTAAAAAAGTTTGTTAACAGGAGATCAGAGGAAACACTGCCACACCCCAACGACTTGACCCGATTTACAAAGTGCTCTTACCGATATCAGGTTACTCCGTGTTATTGCTCAAAACGAACAAATAATAAGGAACAGAATTACATTGATTTATCTTGCCTCGGTGTCCATTCAAAATATTAGGTACGATCGAAGACAACTATTGATTTTTTAAAATCTATTTCTTACCAGGACAACGGCGATTGTTGCAGTTCCGGGTTTGCTTGCTAGGCCCAGTGCAATGTTTTCCACCGTATGAAGGAGGAGGCCTGGAACAGGATCTTGTCCGGTACTGTGATCCAGTCCCACATGATTTAGAGCACGTACACCATTTACTCCAAAGACTCCAGCCTCCTTTAACTGAAAGAGATATTCATGTATGAATATTTTTTCCATGAGGCACAGTGGTCGGGGAAGGGGAGGTTTGAGCACTTGGTCTCGTAACAGGATAAAATAAAATTTGCCACGAAACTCTAAAAATTATCCGCGCTTGTTATACGTTAACAATCGAACAAGATTTGTTACCACGACGTTTCCACCAATTTCCGATAACATGTAACCAAATAGAAAGCAGTGATCGATTTTTCCCAATCCATTACTTACCAGGGCAGTGATGAGTATTACATCTCCTGGTCTGTCTAGCAAGCCCAGTACACTTTTTACCACCATATGCCGGGCGAGGCCTGGTACAGCTCCTGGTGCGGTACTGTGACCCAGTGCCACACGTCTTAGAACATGCGCGCCATTTACTCCAAGGCTTCCAACCTCCATTTACTGAAAACGATCAAAACAATTGTTAAAGAAACAATGAGAGATGCAGAAATTCTTCTTTTACCCTTTCTGTTTTAGTTGTTGAATTGTGTACTTTTTCGATAGTTGTCGTGTATTTTTTTTTCAACAAACTCACTGACTGGTTTGTCAACTTGGAATCGAACCGCAATGTTTGGTGTCCATATGCTCACTGACAGAAATATCTTCCCATAATCTTCCAAAAATGGTTCATTTACAATCAGTCATGAATAGTTTGTCTTATACATAAGGCGGAAGGGTTCCACGCAATCGAGCCTGTGTGTTGCTAATCCTCATCAGAAAGTAGACATTTTGTCCCACGTAACCCAAGCGTGAGTTAACGTAAGCCTCTGCAGTCCCTGTGCGCATGAGCAAGAAGTCTTGCGTGTCCGACTTTGTGCGCAAACAACCAACTCCCTAACTGTTAAGGAGGCAACCTTTCATATGTATTTGAATATCTCACCTGGGCATCGTTTGAGGAGGCAATTCTTATGCTGTTGGGACGAGCCCATACATTTCTTTCCTCCATATCCAGGAGGCGGGTTTGTACAGGACCGTTTTCGGGTCTGTAGTCCCGTCCCGCAAGATCCCGTACATTGTCCCCAGCTTGACCAAGCAGACCAACCTCCATCTGATGCAGAAGGGGAAATTGAAAAGGTAAGAGAAGAGCTGATGGTGATCTGATTTATCTAATGATATTGATTTACATTTCCTCATTTCAATTTCATATTCATTTTTGTAAAAATTCGATGTGAGTTTTCTTACCCCGGCACCTACTAAGGATACAATTCCTGTGCTGTTGAGGTGCGCCCATGCATTTCTTTCCTCCATACCCAGGAGGCGGGTTCGTACAGGACCGTTTTCGCGTCTGTAATCCCGTTCCGCAGGATCCCTTGCATTGTCCCCAGCTTGACCAAGCAGACCAGCCTCCATCTAAAAATGGTTCACACAGTTCAAATCATTAGCCTTTACATTTAGTATTGCTGGTCAAAGTATCGGCCTTTCTAGAGCGTGTTTATTTTTCCTCATTCTGCCAAGCAATCTGAATGGTCCATTGTTGGACTTAACGTGAGTCCTGTGCCAAAGGTTTGCTTACACTGGCAAATAGAGAGGGAGTGAGATTGATAGATAGATAGTTTATTGAAATATTCAAATTTGCAGCCTCCTAAGGCTGAATTGCATAAAATTTACAAAAGGTTAAAGCTATATGGTGCGCCTAAATAAATAACAGTTTCATTTAATATAAATTGTCTTTGTAGGAAAAACCACGTATAAAAAAGTTCTACCGATTGGACACAAATGCGTTCGTGTAGCGATTGGTGCCTTTCTATCGGAAACATAACAATAAACGCACCTAACTACTCACCTAAGTTGCATTGTTTGATCATACACGACTTGTATTCTCTGGAGGGTCCCACACAGCCGGTCCCTCCGGGTTTAGTGCAGGATCGCTTGCGGTATTGTGACCCTCTCCCACAGGTCTTGGTACACTCGCACCAGGCTCCCCAACTACTCCATCCTCCGGACACTACGAGAACAAGATAAGTAAGTGAGGAGAACGTGTCTCTAGCTCCCGCCAGTCTCAGTGATTTGCAGTCTATTACAAGTTTTATATTATTCTGCTTTTCGTGTTTAAGCCACCTGCCGTTCACAGGATCTTTTTCTGGCGGATAAGGACCGAAAAGAAAATGGGAAGATCATGAAGACCACGACACTGTTAAAAATGCTAAGACTGTTTTTCATTTAAAAGGGTAAAACTCTTACCACCTGAATATTTACGCGATAGATCCCTTGTACATCAAGGAAATTTTGATAGTTTACAAATTGAATACATTTTACAAAAATGTAAATATTTCTGGGAATTTATTATGTTATCTGTTCGAGGCCTAAGGTACTAGGTCTTTACAGATTGTGCTAGCATAATTTATGGCATAACTCGGAAAGATGAGCGTAATTTTTGCTTCTTTTTTTTTTAATGAAAGTAGCACTACTAGCATTCTATTCCTCCTTAATTTTCCGGGTGTGGTGACTTTGCAGGCAAGGAAAAGATGAGCAAACTAACCAGGAAACAAACAAGAAATTAAAGAGAGGAAATTTACGCCCGCTGTCAAAACGGCTAAAGAATGAGTCCCTAGTAAGTACGTGGTGTAAGAATCTCTTTTCTCACAACACCCACCACCTATCAAAGACTTCTTTAGCTTTAATCTTCAACAAATAAAAAAATATACTCTGATGAAATACTTTTAGTGGATCCACTAAATTTGATTTGAATGGAATTTGAAAAATTGAAGTTTTCTTTTTAATGTCACGCTGTGATTCAATTGTAAATAAATTTCATCTTAATGGAGTATAGATCAATTACCTTCAGTCGCTCTTGAAACCTAAAAACCATGCGTGCGCCTTTATCACAGAACTAACCTTTCTCACAGCAAACCCCACTATACCCAGCCTTACACTGGCAGCTCAGACGTACCAGTGAACCACCATTTAGGCAGAAGCGATTGCACGCCTTAGCTCCTATCGTGGTGACTAAACATTTTCCTCCGCACTGTGCAGGCTTGGCGATAGGTCGCCTTCTGTATTGAGTTCCACGCGGACCACACGAATGCGAGCAGGCACTCCACGCAGACCATGTTCCCGGAACGCAATCCTTTTTTTGACATCTGCGGCGGCGTCTCCAAGCCCATCTGGGCTCCGCAGACACTTCGTTCATCACACAAAATACTAAGACAACGGCCAGAATTTTAAAGCTTTCGCACCCCATTTAGCGATTCGCTGAGAATCTCAACCACAATGTTCTCACTTAGCTTAAGATTTTTAGCGCTCTCCCGTTACCGCGCGCTTTGATCACAGCTTCTCCTAGCTGCAAAAAAAAATTGCTATATTCCGCCCGCCACAAGAAACACACTGTGCTGCATTGAAGTGCAACAGTGGAATGTTATACTTGTGCAATGCCCATTTAACAAAATCTAAGTACATATTTACTCAGTGCCGGTCTACTGAAAGCCAGTTTAATTATTCAGACCCTTCTGGAGCATTTAAGAGAGCCAGTCCTGTAGTGTTTAGCGAATCAATAGCAGATGACCTTTCGAAAACTGTTTTGTCTGATATTAAACATTTAAGGTTGAAGCTTGGCGGGTCTCCATGGAGATTAAGACAGAGCTTACTTTAAATGAACTGAAAAGCAGGACATTGTTTTCTTGTAAATCTGATAACAAACATTTGTCGCACCCCTATTTGTACGATATCTCTACGCGAGGTATGAGTTGAGGTCATCGGGGATGAAATTACGGCATGACTGCCCACAAAATTGTCTCTCTACAATCCTCGCCCCCATTATAGGTCATTTTAGAAATGTGCTTGAATCCCTGCTTGTATATGATATTTATAAAGGTTCATTTCAAAATACATTCCATTCGAGCTTTCAGTTGAGGTGAAACGAGCTGCAAACGTTAAGCTTTATAATTCAGGTAACTTTTTTCAAATTTCATGCGCTGTAATAAAACTCCTTGTAATAATTTTTCTAATACTCGATTAGAGGATGAGTTGGCTGATAGGATCAATGGACGTGTTTCGGTATAACTGACATACACAAGGATGACTTGTCTTTTATTGTCTCTCCTCTCTAAGAACTATGGGAGACGTAATAGCCTTTCAGATAGCACTGGACTTCAGGTCGAGAGGTCTGGGTTCGAGACCTCCTGGGTCTTTACATCTTGTGTTCCTGGTCAAGATACCCCACTCTTATGGTTCCCCTTGCCTCCTCCCAGGGGTAGCATTCGATGGATTTGCATCCCATCCAGGGGGGTGCAACACTCTTAGTTACCTCATGCCACAGAAACTGGGATAAGCTCCGGCTGGATGGGTCACTTAGCTCGATAGCTGATCATGGCTTCCCTTTAAACCTCTCTATGAAATAAGATCCCACCAAGTTAAGGCATCACTATCCAGGAACCTAGGACCCGAGGCTATTAAGTGTTGCTTTAGGTTACCAGAGGTCGAGGCTTTAAACAGACATGATTTTGTTTTTGATTATTTTGTGTATCAACTAACAAAGGTAAGAGACAGAAAATACACTTTGGAAGAGAATCATATTTTTCTTTTTGTTTCAAGGGGCTTGAGTTACCTACGTTTTGGACCTTCCGTGTTTCCTTTTACTCTTAATTCTGTAAGAACATCGGTGAGCCGAGTGTTGACTGGGGAGAGAGCTTAAGTAACTTTTCCAAAATGGCGTCTCTGCGTCAGAATCTAGTGCACAAGATCATTCTGCTTCGTACTGCTTCAACGCCTCGAACATTGTTATTGAGAGGCCAGTCAAGTGCTATAAGCTTTTTATTTGCTAGAAAATTAGCATCTAAAGCTCAGATGACCGTGCACGAGGAGGAAAAATCGGAAGAAGAGATGAAACAGTCACAAACAGCACGTGCAAAAGTCAGCGAATATTTGGAAAAAAATGGGGTCCGTGTTCAAAGGGTCCGCAGACAGATCGATTTAAGGAAACTGACTGTAGAAAAAATATCAAGGGTGTTTAAAATTCTAGATGATATAGGGATTGACCACAATCAGCGACACAGAATTATCTCGAATAGACCCACTATTTTGACAACCAAGGATGATCTGCTGAGACATCGTGTGAAGATCATGAGAATTGTTGGAATCTTTCCCGAATCTGTTGCTTACGTCGTTAAGGAATCGCCAGGGGTGCTAACGGCAAGGATCGAGGAATCTTTACCTGACAAGGTAGGGCTGACTAAGAGATTAATCAGAACCCTTAGCAATTTCCTCAATGCAATTGGTGCATTAGCTGCATTATTTTTCACCAATCATTCTATACAGTTGTTATCGGATAGTGAGATCGGACAGTAGCAACAATCACCACTTATCCTTAAAATAAAACTATGAAATATCCAACATTTAGGAATTTTTTTACTTTGACTCTGTACCAGAGAGATTAGTCCTAAATGTATTTGTTGTTTTCGGAAATGGTTATGGTTTTGTTTTTTGGTAATGGTTATGATTAATTGGCAATAGGACTTTGTGTCATCCAATTCTGTCTGTACTCATACTCATGATTGACAAATACTGATCAACAGATTGACTGACTGACAGACTGACAGACTGACCAGCTCTATCACTGACTCTATCTGACTCTGAATTCCCAATGACCCATTTTTAGAAGATGATGCTTCATTTAAACATCATTTCATGGCTCTTTTGTTTTTGGTGTTACTTTTTTTCTTGCACAGATCAAATGTTTTGAAGAATTGAATGTAAAACCAAAGTTTACCAAAGATGAAATACTCCATGTGTTGACAAAATGTCCAACAATCATTGCTGCTTACACGGTGGAGTCATTGCAAAAGAAGGTCCAGTTCTTGGAAGAAGAACTGAAATTTAATAAACATCACATCAAAAATATCATTCTCAAACAGCCATCTGTTTTGACATTCAGCAATGATGCACTCAAAGAAAAGTGGAATTATTGTTTTGAGAAGATCAATGTAAGTCCAACAGGCATAGCACGTTGTCCCAGGGTGTTTCAGTGCTCCCTTAAAAGAATTAAAGAAAGGCATTTGTATCTAAAGCATCTGGGACTCATAAAAGATGAGACAATAATCGATGATTATGGGCTTGGTCTTATTGTGACTCCTTCCGACAAAAGGTTTGCAGAAAAAGTCGCTAAAATGTCATTAGATGAATTTGATGAGTTCAGGGATGAACTTGACCTCTCAAGCAAGGAGTGATGTTGGAGAAGATGGCAGCTACTTTTTGAAATTATATTGACTGTGAAAAATGATGATGATCATGTAAATGACAAACCCCAAATATACAGTCAAACACTTTTTAACTCTTTTACCCTCAAGAGTGAGTATCACCCTTGAATTAGATGTAAAGGTTGCGAGGATAAAGGCAATGATCATTAATTTAGGAAGTTCCTGATTGTCAATCAAATTCTCCTTGTCAGTGTTAGAGGAATTATGCAAAGAACAGTGTGGAGAATATGAACACAATCTTAAGGATGTAAAAGGGTTCAGGAATATCATTAAATAACAGAGAGTAAACCACTCTGAAGTGTTTTTTATTCTACTATTTCTTGTTCTTTCTGTTTTTTTTTTTTCATTTCATTTTATTTTATTTTATTGAGGGGGAGGGGCTGAGGGGAAGCCTGGTTACTAATTTTGTGGCCGACTGAAATCTCACCCAAGTGTTTTAGGAGCCAGGAGGGATGCAAATCTCAGAATTAATACCCCAAGGATAAAAGGTAGAAAAGCCAACCTTTGGAAATCTGAAACCAATAGTTGCCTAATTCTGTATCACTCCCTTACTTCCCCTCCCCCTTAATTTTATTATTTCACCACGTTTTCTTATTCTCTCCATAAAATAAAGTCCCTAAAATGAAATCACGTGATCCTAAATACATGTATGAAGAAAATCCATTTGACCTTCTCTCTTTTATAGAAAGAATATCAAAATGTATTTACATCCGTAAGATTATGAAAACGGTAGAGGAAAAGACTAGGAGTGATGGCCAAAGTACTCGTACATGTCCAAACAAAGCACGCACTTGAATAAAATTCCAAACTGAAGCGAAACGAACTAAAGAACCGAAGCGAGGTGAGAAATTGAAGCAGTTGCTAAGAAAAAATTGTAAATAATAAGTTACTACAATTGTAAGTAAAAATGATCGATAAACGAGAAGACAAGATAAAGGACGACAAAAGACATTTATAAATGTTGTACAAGATCCGGCGAGAAATGGCTGAGTGAAGACGATATGAAACGATTTACAGCTATTGAGAAAAATGATCCAGCACAATTAGACGATAAAGCCGAATGAATAAAGTTTATGGCAAAGAACTTACACAAATGATACAAACAAATGGTATTCGAAGTTATGCAAAAAAATAAATTAACAGAATAATGATAACAGTAATACACGTGAATACAAAAGAAAAAATACGAATTAAAAATAGATAATGCCGAAGTGGCGGAAACACCAGGAGATAAATTCTGAATCCATGAGTAGAACTCCCGGGTAACACAGGCAAGTGGGTTTAATAAGAAAATGGGTCTGCTTGAAGGTTACACAATCGCTGGAAAGTTGATATGCATAGATGTGTGAATATTGGGATAAACTCCCCCCCCTCCCCATCCACCTAGTTTTTCTTTTTTTGCTGCTCTTTCTCTCTCCACGAAATTACGCACATTATTAAAAATCCATTCTTTCCAATGGTGAAATTATGTATGGAATTTTCTCTTTGATAGTAAAATAAAAACAAATTTAATTTTATGTAAGTTATTTAGCCAACTGAAACAGGGACTGTGGGGAGATCTGTTCTATATCCAAAAGACTCTAGCATAATACACAAGAACCCGCCAATATGCATAGTTTACAGTTAAAGAAATCCATCAGAGAACAAATTACCGTTTCCTTTGAGGGGTCCTTAATTTATCACTGAGAAGACCTTATTTTCAGAGCTTTGTTCACTTTTAGCCTCCTTAGTTAAATTACTGAGATATGTTAAAAAAAATTATCCATAAACACTAAAAACAAGTTAGTCTGTGAATCATAGCAAGCAAGATAAATTAGTCCATTCGAACAATGGGCGTAAAATTGGTCTTCTCAAGTACTCCAGCAGGATGCTTTTGCTGCGCTCAGGAAGAAGCCTGGAAACCATTTGCCTTTTTACTACAAGCAAAATGGCGTGCGGAAGCAGCTGCTTAGTGAGAGGTTGCCTTGTGCTTATTTTCTTTGCGACACAACAAGTTTCTTCAGAGACATGCGCTCCAATCGACAAGGACATCAATATTCTGAAAGAGTAAGTGGAAAATCGATTGAGGTTATCGTATTGATCAAATGCTTGAGGGCGTCCTATATTATACGAGTGTACGTACAGTACTGGCAATGTACACAATAACGAAGAACTTAATCATATATAGTGCGGTTTTTAAAACACACAGAATCTTAAGCGTCAAAGTTTACGTGTCTTTAGTATAATTGCAAGGTATTATCGATCCAGTTTTTATATTTGAACACATAATTATCTGGGTTATGTTATTGGCCAACCTACTTCGTAATGCAAGATCATGCAGTACACAAATACTACACTGATCTTATATTCTGTTTAATTGCACCCGCAAGTAAACTGTTCCATCTCCTGTCTATATTTGCATATATAATGTTCTTATCCACGATTATCTCTTTCTCTTTCGGTCAATTTGTTTTTACCGTAGTAGAAAAACTGGACAAGCATTATGCTTTGTGCTATAAGCTGAATTTAGAGATATTGGTCCACCACTTACCCAAGCAAAGAACTTACTAACCCCTTACACCCTAACATCAGTATGCATGTTCTTCATACTGTTCTCTTTACATTTCCTGAAGTGCCAACAAGGAGAATTTGTTTAACAATTAAGAGACTCTTCAGTGGGTGATCATTTCCTTTATTCTCCAGACCTCAGTGGGTGATTCAGGGATGTAATCGTAAGGAGAAACTAGATGCTAGTCACTCTAAGGGGTCAAATGGGTTAATTGCCAAAGAGCTTGAAGATGAATTTAGAAGGCTTTGTCATTAACAGTTAGAATATTGATTTTATTGCATGATTGTATCTGATGATATGCATTTTTATCTAATTTCCAGTCAAAACTTTTGGACATTTGAGGTGCCTCATGTAGAGAAAGGATGCATACCTTTCAAACCACCAATTTCTGGGGGAAATGTCACCTCCACCTGTGTTTTCTATTTTTCCCTTTGCCATCCAGTTCCTAGTCTCTGCACTGAAAATTGTGGAATTTGTTTGACCAACAAGGTCTCTTTCTGGGGGCATGACTACGATAACAAGGCCCTTTATACTATGCCAAAAAAAACTGGTGGCTTTGACCCAAACAAAAAAGTTAACTTTGATTCACGTAAGTTTGAATTTTATTATTTTTATTCGACTCCGTAACCAGTGGAAATTGTGTTTTTTGATAGACATTGTAGTTATTTCTTTGTATCTAATTTCATATTTTACATTTTCTTAGTGATCATTTTTTATTTATTTATTTATTTTTTATTTTTTGAATTTTTTTTATTTTTTAATTTTTAGTTTTTAGTATCTATGTAGGGGTTGAATTTTTAACATTTAATTGTAATGCGCAATTGAAAATTCTTATATTGGTAATTACACAATATAAGTCTGTAAATTATTATTATTATTATTATTATTGATGGTTTTAAAGATAAATGAGTGTTCATCGTGGATTTAAAGATAAATGAGTGTTTAATTGCTTGTCTCAGGATGTACTGCATGTGTAAGAGTCTTGTACTTTGGAGTCTGAAGTAGTTTTAACTGGGCTTCCTTGGTGATGTGGTGGGCTTGTTATGTATAATTCATGGCTGTGCTACAGTATTGTGCAATGAACACAGTTTACACGAGCATTTGAAATCTCTTGTACCAAGAGGCTTTAATCTTTTTGTTTTGTGACAGGTAGATTGAGCATGTTGTGGAGAATTGTTTTTTCTTTCCCAAGCTTTTCGTTGTGAACTTTTATTTGGTAATGAAAATTCAAAGAAATATTGCTTTTTGGTGAGAATCTTCCCTTGAACTTTTGCACCAAAGTTTGATGAAATTTGAAAAGAGCAATTAACAAAATTCGGCAATTTTCATTTGATTTCTTTTGCACAATACTGTATATGAATTAAGACAACTTAGAGAATGTTTCAATTTCCTTTAGCTTTATTGGTACAAATAATAAATGAAAGTTGGTGTTTCATTAATCAGTAATCATTCAGTAATCAGTAATCATTCAGTAATCAGTAATCAGTAATTCAGTAATCATTTTAACCTGTTTCACCCTAACATCAGCATGTATACTGTACTTTGTACATTTCCTTAGGTGCTGACAAGGAAAATTTTTAAATTATCCCAAGCCTCTTAAGTGGGTGATCATTTCCTTTATTCTTCTAACATTAATGTGTGATTTGGGGGTGAAATTTCATGAGAAATTAGATTGCTAATAATTATTACTCTTGGGGTTCAAAGAGTGAAGGCAAACTGTCTTCCAGAAAATGATTTTTTAAATTTACTTTTAGAATGGGATTACTTCACCCTAATTTATGAACCAGGAGAGCTAACCAATGCCTCAACACTTTCCTCCTTCCAAACTGAAATCATATTCCATTGTAACAAAAGTGCCGTATGGAAAAGATCTGATGGTGAAAGTGGCAATAACAGTGTCACATATCCTCCCAAAGTTACTGTCTCAAGTACAAAGGTATAGTGGGTAAATGCTACAGCTTTTATATAAAATGCTTTTTGAGTCAGTGAGTGCTGTAGGAAAATTGTATCATCATCATCATGAAAAAATCATGAAATTTGTAATTCATTCTGGTCTCCCATGGTGACCATGATACAATCACATGCTTTAAATTTGAATCTTTGCAAGCTTAATATAATTGTGCACTTAAGATCAGCTTTAGCTGTCCAATCCTAAGAAGTTTTAAACTCCTCAGGATTGGCTTTAATTCTCTACTCTAGCTGCTACACATTTCCTTTTACATTTAAGTAACCAGAATTTTGTGTTAGATCATGATAACAACTTCTACCTGATAATTTTGAATATTCTCTTTACCTATTTGCTTGATACTGTTGGATATTATAAGGAGAAGTTACTTGTTAATCACTTCTGTGGGAGTTTAAGGTTTAATAAGGTGGCTTCTAGGTTACCAAAACATTAGACTCAAATAACTGCAAATGAGGTCAAATTTTTTCAAAACATGATGATTATTACAATTTCATAATTACACACTGAAATGATAAAGATAAAATCGTAGGGTTTTTAGAGCATTCTTATAACATGTCTGGCTGTTTTTCCTTTTTGTAATAGATTGGGGTAGTCATGGTTAAGGTAGAGTTTGAGTATAGTGGGGCTTGTACAAAAGGAAGTGGAGGAGGAGGAAAAGATGACGAACCTTCAAAACCTCTGAGTGTTGGATCAATAATGCTTATTTTGTAAGTAGTCAGTTATTATGTTTGAGAATTGTCCCTGTTTTTGAATCAACTCCTGTTTTTCAGGACATCCTCAGAGGAGATTTAGTGTCCATAGTAGTGGGGTACAAGAGAAAAGAAATTGGTTTTGTCTCTAAACATATAAAATAATATGTATACTAACTATGCAGACTTGAATCTCTAATGTGGCCTCATGAACTGGAAAAAGATCTGTCTGCAATAAGGAATTATTGTAATGTCACTTTAAATTATGTGAGTAAGTGTCTGTTATAGTGGGAGGAAAAAGCAAGTGAAATATTGTGCTGGAGAGCACAAAAGTGTCCACATTTCTGTAATAGCAAGATTCTGTAATAACAGGAGTTCATTTCAGTCATTTCTTTATGCCTTTCGCTGGGGGGCTGGGTCTTGTCTGCAATGGCATGGTGTCATTCCTAACGAGGTGTCCACAGGCAGAGAGTCTAGGGTAGTGTGAAATTATATAAACAATAGCCTCCATTTGGTGCAAAAATATGCTTGCAGATTTTTCAGTAGACATCATCTGTTCCAAGAAGAAAATAGAAAACTGAGAGTGAAGTTGGAAGAAAACTGTGAGCTACAAGGAACAGATAATGTCCAACGACAAATAAACCTGCATATTTCTACACCAAATGAAAATTAATGTATTAGTTTAAAAAATTAATCATTAAATTACATTTTCTTTTCGAAATTAGATTCTTTCCTGGAGTATTTTTGTATTGTGTGGTGGGAGTGCTGGTAAATAAAGGAGCAGGGAAAACAGGAAAGGAAATGATCCCGAACTCCAAATTTTGGTCAGATCTACCAGGATTAATAGCAGTAAGTGAGCTGTTTTATTCACTGATATGAAGAAGATTGTGAAGAATACAGTGTGGTGTGGAAATTCTTTGGGAGTCTATTGACAATTTTTTTTCTGTTCTGGGGAATTAATGTTTGTGGCTCAAGATGGCTGAAATCTTGTGTGAGAATGACAATTTTGCAATCAAGCAGGAGATAAAAACAATGAAGAAAAATAGATTCAAATTTTTCTATATTCAAGTTTTCCTTTCCTATACAAGGGGAAGATAAACAGAAGTTGATCAGCACATGGATATTTTGAGAGAGTTTAGATAGAAAGGATCCAAACTGACACATGATTCTCATGCAAAGTTTTCATTTCTGAGGCTGATGATGATAAACTTTAGCAACTTTGTTTTTTAAATGGGATATATTTTGTTTGTGAAGTTAATTTTTGGATCTAGGGAAATTCCCTAGATCAGCATAAGTTAAGACATTAAAAATGTTCACTCTACAGTTCATCATGTAGAGTACAATTGGGTTTCATTCGCTAGGTCCTGTGGCATAATCAAACTGACTTGGGCGGTGTGTAGTCTACTATAAGCCATAGAATGTATCTAATGGTTCCCAAAAGCTGCTTGTGTGTGCAGCATGCATGCGTGTGCGCGCGTGAGCGTGGGTGCGTGCACGTGCACGTGCACGTGCACGTGCATGCATGAACGTGCGCGCCCACGTTTTTGAGTGGGTGTGCTCGTGTGTGTGATGTTTACTTTTATGGTCAAGGAATTATGAAACCATGAAAATATCAGGAAGAAAAAGAGAATGGTCTGCTTTGTTAGGGAAGACCCACGCTACTATTTCTCCGATTCTTTTTTTTTTTTTTTGAATATGGCCGTGGGCCGTCGATTCTCGCTCTATTGGACTGGTTTTGTTGTTTGGTCTAGGGGTATGTTTATTGGATATGATATTGATTAGCCTCTGCAGTTCAAGTTATTGGCTCACGGAAAGAAGTGATGATTCTAACTTTATAAAAGAATCTCTCAGTTTCTCTGACCGTGCATACTGCTCCTAATGCTCTTGCTTCTGTTTAATCCTTTAATATTTTCATTGAGAGGACATACCACCCTCTCACTCGCAATCTATTTTTCTGTACGTGAACCTCCCATCATCGTTCTGTTTTGTGTTGCCCCGCACTTTAGCTCGAAAAGAAAATGTTTTTTAATCAGTACTTTCTTTTTCAGGATGGGTTTTCCTTTGTTCTTGCTAAGATCACTTGTTCTCAGATGACCACCTCACGACAGAGTTACAATTCCATGTAACCAGCCTAATATTTTAGGTCTTGACGCGTATACAGTCTCTATTTTTCCAGTAGGTTTTTTTCATGACATGCGGCTAGATAGAACTTAGTAACTCCAGTAGTAATTCAGTAAAAAGAAGCGGCTTAACTGATAGTTGAGATAAAGGCAAAAGATAATTAGTTAATATAACCCCTTACATCCTAACAATAGTATGAATTAGCTCCACACTGTTTTCCATATAAATCCTAAAGTGCAGACAAGGAGAATTTGTTTAGCAATCAAGAGCTTCTTTAGTTGGTGACCATTTCCTTTGTTTTCGTGTCCTGAATGAGTGATTCGGGGATGATATTGTAAGGAGAAATTAGATGCTAATCACACTCAGGGGATAAGTGTGGCGGGTCCCCTCACTTTATAGACATAATTTTACAGTCTGTAAACTATTCTGACAAAGTGTGAATGTTGAAGACGACTGAAGAAGCGGAACGCGAGGAGTAGCGGTGGTGGCCAGGAAGGGGGGGGGGGGGTAGGGTAGAATTCATCTCACCAAGCTCCCTTAGGGTACACTTCCTCATCACGTGTTGTGCTCATGGTGAATGCTTGTATTCGCTCTGCTTGTCTAAAAAAGAGGGATAAGTGAACAGAGTGGAAACAATTTTTGAGATGCAGTAGAGGGAACGCCTTATGGAATTAGCTCTAAACTTTTGTCAGCTAAAAAGATTTTAAACTATTTTTCGATGATTTGTCAGAAACACGACTTTCCGTCCTTGTCGTAGCCATTGATAAAACAAAGCTGACGACTATTTTTTGCTTAACCCTTTAACTCATAAGATCTAGTTGTTAGTTATCCCATCGAGCTGCTACACATTTCCTTGTGAATTAGTGAAGTTTTTGCTAAAAACTCTACTAGATATTGAAATACCATGTACCAAGCAGATTGATCGAGAAGAAATTTGCTTCACAATTAGTCATCGAAGACTGTCGCTGGTATTTACTGTAAACTCTATCTCCAAAAAATTGCCTTTTGTCTCTCGTCTCTGCCGCCCACATGAGCATTACCAGAAATAAAACAGCCCATGAGAGATTTGACAGGAGAAGTAGATTGAAATGCAAGAGGTAATTTAGTCAAAAAACGAAATGATCCTCGCAAGTTGAAATTCATTTCATTAACCATCGTACGTTACACATGTGACGCGTGTCTTATGAAATTCGTAATAGAACTTGCTCACTGTGGGGTCTCTGTGGCTCAGAGCATCGGAGCGTGGAATCCGAAGGTTTGAGGCTCAGTGGTAGAGCATCGGAGCGCAGAATCCGAAAGTCTGAGGTTCGATTCCTCATGGGGACTCAGATTTTTTTCTTTTTTCTATGCACGTGCAAGACGAAAAATAACTTTCGCTAGATTACAACAGTTATGACAGCTCGATTTTGCGCCAACGGAAAAAACATATTTCGGTCTGAAATAGCGATAGAATGTTCAGGGGGATAGGAAAGTATTGATAAATACACAAGAGTCAAAAGCAGTTAACGAAATACCCTCGTTCAGTCTGGTAAAAGATTTGGCACAAATTAAGTGTACAGTCAGTAATCTGTGTAAGAATTCAAAATGGCGTTTGATAAAACGGAAAGCGCATCTGGGAACCAGTTTTGATTTTCGAGTTCGGTTGGAGAAGCAACCAGCATAATTGGTGAGAGGATTTCATATGGAAGGAGTTGGACTAAAAGTTTTACTTAAAAACCCTGATTCAAATTGCGAGTGCTAGAGCACGGAATCACGTCCTCTTCGGAGCAAGATGAGTGCCAGTGAACTAAGCAAACAGTCATGTAAAACACGTTCGAACGATCGTAAACAAACAACCTCGAGAGCCTACATCTGCAACCCGTCAACAGCACGACTAATTAATTTTAGTATGTATCACACAGGTGAATAATGCCTTTCGCGCGCGCAGATTGGCTGGTTCGGAAGTGATTAGCATGTACACCTCGGGGCGTCTGAAGAGACAAAATCGCGCGTCAGCGAAAAAATTGTATTGAAAAAATAAACTTTCTTTTTCGGTTTTTTGTGCTACGTACCAAAACAATTATTCACCTCAGTGTCGGTGAAAGTGGTGGATACAGTCGAATAAACATATTGAGCGGTCACTCTATATTAAGCGGTCCGTTGCCAAAGTCAGAAACTTTTTTCCTTAACTTCTCTATCGTTTTTTCACATCCCTAGTCTGTAAACCAGGTAAAAAATCATACAGTAATGGGGCACTTAAGGACCCCCCTCCATTGCTAATGGCCTCTTAACTGATGAGGCGGATGATTCATGACGTATCTCATGGTATTTTTTATCGCCTTGCGCCTGTTTGTGTTTGAAACTCGACACCGATAAAACAAACTTATGCGCTTAGATTCATGGGGTACCTATGATCAGCTCGGTTTTAGCACAATGTGGGAAAAACATGACGGTTTCCGTAAGATTTGAACAGTTGAAGCGTAGAGGGTTAACACCCGAGAGAAACGAGAGAAACGATAAATGAAAACACAAGAAAAAAACAGCGAAAGTGTTTCGAAATACGGAGTGTTCAGTCCGTAAGTCTGATAAATTAGAACAAAATTTAGCTGTTGTTTTACAAAACAGCGTTTAAGCCATCTTCAATTGAGCAGAAATTTTTATCTAGACATTTATTTTTCTTAATAAAGAAACCACAACTTTTAGTTTGCAAGACATGTTTCGACATTCTTATGTCATCTTCAGTTGTAAATGCGATTTTAACGGTTGTACATTTGAATTTATATGAGATTACGTTGGAAATTACGTCATATTGTTTACGTTACAATTTGAATATTAAATACGAAAAAACGGACATAGCACGCTCCAGATGATGAGTGCCAGTGAACTAAATAATGATCATAATAAAAAAATTATTATGATGACAGAACAACCTCGAAAGAGACAACATCTAGATGCGTCAACATTGACTAATTAATTTGGGTTTATCACCAGGTGAATAATGCCTCTTCGCGCGATCTTAATTTGCTGGTTCGGAAGCGGCAGAATCTAAAATGGTGAAACGTCTGTACCACAAAATCGCGCGACAGGCCTTTGAATTGTAGGTGCTTGTAAATTGTGTGTTTTGTCAGACAAAATAAACGTGTACAGATGTTTCGGTTTTATAACTGGCATTACAGCCAGCACACGAACAATTATAAACGACACGCGTCGTGAACCTGGTGGATACAGTGAATTAACACTGAACAATATTGAGCGGTCAAACGTATTGAAGACGGTCCGTAATATCTAAATCAGGTCTACAATAACGTTTCAGTAGATGCCTTAACTTGGTCTAGCGATGTCAGAAAACCGCCCAACATAAACCAGGTAAAAAATGCGAAGAACGGTAATGTGGCGTATGCGTTGAGGATTATAGCTCTTGGCCAGATGTCTTGAGATAATCCTGTCTATAACTGATGAGGAAACAATTTTTCCGTAGCAAGATGACATCCATGACGTATCTCATGGAATTATTGATCTTTTATCGTCCCAAAGTTCTTATTAAACCTAATTTGTACATCAATAAAACTAAACTTATGCGCTTAGATTCATGGGAAACTGAATGATCTTAAGGTGGTCTTTAGCACAATGGATGGATTACTGTTGTCAATCGGTTGTCTAAGAACGAAATTTCTCATTCTCATTTGGGTTAACATCTGGCGAGAGAAACGAGAGAAACGATTTTTGAAAACATTCAAATTGTAACGTAAACAAATGCGAAAGTGTTTCTAACGTAATCTCATATAAATTCAAATGTACAACCGTTAAAATCGATAAATTAGAACAAAATTTAGCTGTTGTTTTACAAAACAGCGTTTAAGCCATCTTCAATTGAGCAGAAATTTTTATCTAGACATTTATTTTTGTGAACAGTGTCAAGAGGGCCCAAAGCTCATAGTGAAAAGACAGTTATTTAATTAAATAAACTCTCTCGCAGAGAATCCCCGAGGCTCACTGCTTGCGTAAAATCGCGGTTTGGGTTTGACCTCATGTAAATAAGCGGCCCGTAGACCCCAACACAGCCGCTGATATATTGTCTTAGTACCGATATACTGCCGTGATGACAAGTTTCATGAGACAAACTCAATTAATATGAAAAGTAAGGAATATTACCATCGCCGGGCATATTGTCCAAACATGAATGATGCTTTGGTTTATTACACGGCTTGAAGGTGCCAGGTTTGTATTCCACCCAACTGGATTTAAGTCCTAGTTTTATCCAGGACTGGGAATGTTTAAGAACTTCTCTTCCATAACGACCTCTCGCGTACCAACCAGGACTGGCCACCGTGTTAATCCATCTACCTCTTATGTTTGCTTTGGTAAACGATGCAAGGTTTCGTAGCTCTGGTGGGGTTTGGTGCAAATTTGTTAAATTCCACAACCCCCCCTATGCTCCACTTGTCACCACTATACCGGATCGATTAGGATTTTAATAACTGGGATCTGAAAATGTATCGGTTTTGACAGTTTTGCATGCGGTTTCCGGTTTTAATCGAATTTTTTTTAGGTTTTTCGGTTTTGGATGATTTTTTCTACGGTTTTGCGGTTTCTAATGAGCCTCAATGCCCCCCTCTTTAAGTGTTTCCTTACTCGGAACTGGTTAGATCAAATGACCACCACAAACCGTATAATATTAAGCCAAGCTTTAATAATTATTCGATCTAAAAGAAATACATTTATAATTCGCAATTAGAACAAACGGAAATCAAGTCTTTATCTTGTAACTAAATTAAAAAACTTCAATATAAACTAACTTCTGTGGCGGGTCGTTACAACAATCTCACTTTACGGGTTAGCAGATTCTCCAGGTAAGCGGATTTAGAGACAGAAAAACGATAACAAAATAACTTCTTTCTCACTTCGATTCTCCTGAAAAACTGACTTAAAACATAATAATCTAACGCTTTTAAATCAATCTATTGAATTAATGTCAATCACGATTCTTGTCATCGAATAAATCTGTCAACACGAGGCAACGCCTATTTATTAAACGAAACATTAAGTAAGGCGTTGAACTAGAGCAACTTGAGTTTAACCAGGCGGGATGGGAATGAAAAATAGCAGCGGGATACGGGATTAGATACCCTCGAAAATACTCCCACTGCGCCTGTATCTTGCTTTCCTTGCGTTTGCGTTGGACTTGTGAGCATTTGCATCGCACGTGTGAACCAGGCATTAATACGGCGCCGCTCAATACAGGTCCGACTATAATTATTGCGTAGACAGTAAAGCTGTTGTAATTTTTAATTGGTTTAACTAAACGTGGTTTAATATTACTGTCTGAGATGGTAATTTTGAGCTCGGTTGAGAAATAGCGATAGATGAAAAAAAAAACAGAAATCTGAAGGTACATTTATCCTAATTTGTCAAAAGTTTCCATAGGGGTGCTTCTAAGTTGAAAAATGTTTATTTTTGTTTAGGTTAGGTATTTTATAAACTGGTGGCGTATGCTCCCAGCTCATGGTTAAAAAATTTGAAAAGAACTATTAAGGTACTTTCGTTCGTCCATATTTCATGATTGAAAAACACCTCCGTTGTCGGATCTTAAGATCCCTAATTGAAACGGCAAGTGTGATCGGCTCCACATACAAAAGAGAAGTGACAGTGAAGAAGGAATGGGATTAGGAACCTAACGTCCCAAAACTCTCCTAATCAGTTGAGACAACACAGTAAGTGAACATTCATTTATCTAACTAATCGGATTATCATTTGTCCGCTCTAAAAATTATTTGGAAGAAAAAATTGATCATGATATCGTGTTCTTTAGTCCTAGTATGTCTTTCATTTAGTAAGAATGTGGTGAGACGAGAAGAAATCGTTTTCATATGACTAGTAAAGTCGATAACACACAATCTTCCTTTGCCCTAAGAAAGGTACTACGATTTTACAATTGCGTGAGGCGCAACGGAAGTTTGGCGATCACATTTTGACGTTGAAATCGTGTTGTTGTCACGGGCAACTGGCCCCGTTTCGAGTGGCAACGTGTCGTTTGACTTCTTTTGGCGGGCTTTCGTGTTTGACGGTTGGTGACGCTCGGCTGTTGAGATTTGGTAACCATTCGAAAAGAGGAAGGTTGCCAGTGACAACAACGTTATTTTACGGTCAAACCTTGTAACCAGACTTTGCCATGAACCAATGACTCGTCGTGAGGTCATGTGAAAACGATCCACAAGTCGGCTTTTTAATCTCTTTTGAGGCCTTCCTAGTTTGATAAGCTATCTTTACGTTTCCTTCTTCATTGGCCTCAACACACGGCCAAAGCTCACGGGCAGATGTTTTGATTCTCGCATCTGTGATAACAAGTTTCATGAGGCAAGCTCAATTAATCCACAAAAAACGGAATATTACCATCGGCTGGCAAATTATCTAAGCATGAATGATGCTTTGGTTTATTACACGGCTTGAAGGTGCCAGCTTTGTATTCCCCCCAACCACTTCCCAGTCCTTGTTTTATCCAGGACTGAGCATGTTTCAAAATTTCTCTTCCATAACGACCCCTCACATACAAAGCAGGATTGCATGCCGTGTTAATCCAGTTACCTCTTATATTCGCTTTGGTGAACGATGCAAAGTTTCGTAGCTCTGGTGGAAGATGGAGCCAATTTGTCGTGTTCCACATCCCCCAAACTTCGATGTAAAAGCCACGGAAACCCATGTACGTGAAACCATTAACTAATTTTCCCATTTTCTCGTTAAATATTGGCGGTTTATACCCGTAGACGGAGATACCTTTATTCCGAAAATATTGTTTTGTCTCATCTTTGCTAAATATTTCTATTTGTGTTGACATCATGATGAGATCTCCGTCGGCATCATACGGTAAAAGACCATCGAACTTAACACCACCAAGAATAGAACCAGAATCGAGTTCAAATGAAATATTTCTTTCATCACAGAACTTCTGAAGGACTGTCAAGAGATGTGCGTACTCTTCCAGGCAACAAATTGGGAGTAATTCGTGAGTTGCCTTGCACGAGACGCCAATATCGTCACAAGAGAATGAAAATTTGATCCCCTGGGGCAAAAGTACGCGATTAATCCCCCACTTTTTTGCCAAAGGTGTCCAGACATCTTTTTTAGTGCTCTTGGTATACGAAAAGTAATCCAAAGTGAAATACATAGCGTCAGGGCATGTCATCACTTGGTGGCCATCCTTTCTAATGCGCAAGAACCAGTCTTCAAATACTACTTCGTTTGGAAGACTTTCGTCCAGCTTAAACAAGTCTGTTTTAGTCAGAAAAGGTCCTTGCAGAAAATCACAAAACATGCATGCATTTTGTGAGTGAAAGTAGCCTTCTTGATATTCTAGCACGTAGTTTAGTAGTTTGGTTTGCACACATCCTGCTTTCCAGTGACCAGAAATATTCCGAAATGCTCCCCCGGCAACTTTTACATTTGGTATCTGACTGACCACACGAATTTGTCTTTCTATTTGAGTGAACCATGAGAAGTGAACCACATCACGTGCGACCAGCACATAAGGTGTGGAGGCTTTAGCTTTAAGCATGTTCCACACTTTTGCTGCATTTGTATCATCGACTTTAACCACGTCAATGTTTTCGTACTCTTTGGCCATTTCTATGATATCGTCACTGCGCGTTGCTACGTAAACGTGAACTATTGGATAGGTATCATTGATACCCTTTATTACATTACGAATGTGTTTCTCATCTTCTTTTGGATATGCGACAGTGTTTATTAAAACACTTATGACGGAGCTAAGTGGTTTGACATTGATACAGTTAGTAAGGACCCAACCTGTAGAATAAAATGGGTAACCAAATTTGCTGCCTTTGTATTCTTCCGGACACACATTCAAACTGTTATTTTTCATGCCATTATTTGGAGTTGGTGGTTCTGATTTGCCGTCAAGGCGTTTGGCAAGGTCTCCAACCTTGTTAACAAAATCCGGTGAGGGTATACTTTTATGATCTAAGAGGTATTTTAGTTGGGAGTGGATTTCGTGAAGTTCCTTTCCAAAAGATTCCCTGAGCCAAGTTGATTCAGTTGTCTTTACATCTGCCTTAGTATCTTCACGTACCTTGGTTGCATCATTTCTCTCCTTTGTTGTATTCTCTCTTTCCTTGATTATGTTTCTACAGTCACATGTCTCAGTTTTCTTCTGGTCTGTCATCGCTTTAAATGGAGGTTGTAAATATCTGAAGATTTAACACGTTTCTGTTCTATAAATTATCTTCTAGTCGTGGTATAGTGGAAATAACGAGGTGTGGGCATTTGAGCATTGCTATCATAAAAAGTCTCAGTAGGAATTTGGCTGAAACACTTGGACTAGAACTTGGCTGCCACGAATTATTCAAATGATTTGGTTCTTACAGATAAGAATTACTCATAGACTATAATCGTTGACGACGAGAGCATAGAGAGGAGGAACTCTTTTCACGAGCAGTTCTTGATCCCCGTGAGAAATTTTTTGACAATATTATTGAAGCATTCACTATGCTTTGAAGCTAAAAGTAACTATTTTGATGCACGCAGAAAGAATATTTTCTCGTTCATACCATGTTGTATGCATCAGGAACTTATTGGAACAACTACTATCCTTTGAAACTCAAAGTAATTATTTTGATGCATGAGGAAAGAACATTTTCCCGTTCATACCATGTTGTCTGCATCAGGAATATCTTTAAATACTGTTTCACTACAACTGCATTTTTTCCTTAAATTTGGTATAAGTGGATCATAACTGAGGCCACGGCTTCTACTTTGCAATCAAGGATTTCTATATCGAACATACCTGGACCTTGGTGGAGTAAATACACGAAGCGAAAGGAGTACAAAGATAAAAACGATTGTTGCAATGGACCAACGAAGGTACCTCCAAGTTGCTGTGGACACCATGAATATTTTTAAGGCTGTAGAAGTAACAACAGATAGATATGTTAAAAATGTGGAGATATTGGCAACAGTATAATGTACTCTAGTGGGATCTCGTTTTGTTAAACTCCACTTTATCTATAGCCTGTTCCAGCCTCTCAGGCAGTGGAGATTAGTGAATTGGTAGACGGACAGTAAATGGCCTTCGCGAAATAAGAGGAAGATCGAAGTCAAATGCAATACAAGAGAGTCCTTTCCTCGAATTGCTAAATGAAAGAATATGAAGGCATTGGAAGCTGTGTGGCCAAGTAGTTGCGGTGCTGGACTCGTAATCTGGTGGTCCTGGGTTCAAGTCGTTCACTCTGCTACTCGTTGGAATTGTTCTCGGTTTCTCAGGGCTCAAACCCCTTGGCTAAAATTTGTATGTAACCGACTGGTTTGCTTCCGGCCAGTTTCAAAGCTATGTTCACATACAATATTTCAATACACCCAATGTTTATTTAGTTTATATTGGCCCTGAAAAGCCCCATCGGGGGAGTGGTCAATTAATGTTATTGCCCCCTAAGCCAGAATCCGGAGAGGCTCTCTTTAGGCCTCCAGGTATGGGGAGAAATGAGAAATGACGCATGATCGATAAGCGAAAAAAGCCTCGATTTGTCTTGAATGCAGCTCGCAATGCATCAACAAAATGCCCGCAACTGGTACTGAAACTGACAGAGGAAGTGATGGTTCAGTTCTTCTCAGCAAACACCATTGTGCGGAAGCATATAAACCCAGATCCATTGTTTAGTTGAAAAAGTGGGTCGTGGTTGACAGAAAAATATTGGTTTCAGATGAATTTGCATCAGCAACAGCGTCATTACGTTGGTTGACAAGCGGCCTAAAAACCGTCTGCAATTAATTTTAATCGTTCACAAAAAATACCTAGATAGTAAAAACGTGAGGTATTTGGTTACAGTTAAACTGAACGATGGAACTTTCATTCATTTAATATCTGAATTTTCTCAAATAATTTGTTCGTAGTGAAAGAGCGTGCGAAGTTTTAATTTCAGTTCTACAACAAATATACTCTCTCGGTGAGTCTTTCCAAGTCCGTTCAATTTGGACAATTGTACCGTAAATTTCACAACAGAAACTGAAGGAATTTATTGAGAAAAGGCTGCATTAAATCCCCTTGAGTCTCGTTGAAGTGTGCCATTCGAATTTAGTTTTGGTGGAAGAAAGACCAGATTTACACACGCCATTGTAGCAAACAAACGAGCAAACTCTCACAACTTAAAAATAAAAAAAATTTGAATTTACTCACAATTACTGTCCTCGCCGTTTACTTAATGAACAGAGGTAAATCTTCGTACATGAATGGATCGTCGATGAGAGTGAATAATACTTTCCGTTAGATCATTGACTGTTTTTGAAGAAAACATTGTCGTGACAGTCCTTGTCAAACTAGTTCTATTGTTTTTCAAATCTTCTTGCACTTTTTTTTTTTTACTTACGCGCTCTCTAATTGACAGGTGTCAGATTGTGACAGATACTTGTCAAAATAATGTTTCAAAGTTTGTTAAGAAGCCTTTTAAATCACCTTTATCGTTACGCAAATGAAAATGTTTCGGTGTGGCATCTCTCTTTAATTTGCATCACCTCTATTTTAACTACCATTTTCTCGCTCAAAAAACTGTTCAGTTTATGGAAGATCTTGCCGTATTTACAGCCCCAAATCAATCGGGTTCTTTCGGAAAGAATTTCGTCAAGTTTCAAAAAAAAAAAAATATAAATAAACGTCGGTCTGGAAAATGCTGGCCTCGGCCTATGGCCTCAGGCAGTATTTTCCAGACCTCGGTCACAGCTTTTCACCATACGGACCTCCCACCCGGCAAATAACATATATTTCTTGACTGAACAAGATTAAAAGCCTGAAAATAATGAAGAAAAAATTGGCCTCCACAGGGTACTTTGATTTCAGTTTGAGCTTCCCAGTCATTCAGTTCTGACTTATCGTTTCAGTTTCGATCGATGTTTAGAAAAATCTTGAACGAAATGCAAAGGCGCACACAGAATGCAATGTTGTGGCGTGACCTGTCTGTACCTTTATTCAATGAAACATGGGCCTCCGTTTGAAACGACTGTTAGTTTCATACCAGAAACTGAAATAATTTACTTTCGATTTTCATGCGTTATAGGTGATTCGGACTTAATCTTCATCAACTATCTTGCGATAGACTGAGATGAAATCTCGAGCGCGTGATCGATTTGTTTATTACCCCAAGGCTTCTCTATTTGTTTTATAATAAAGAATCCGTTCATGGTTCTGCAGGTTCAAGGGGCTCCGAGGTCTGCTGATCCACAGTTTGACAACACGCAGACGGACTCTTGATCAACAATCTGATTTTATGTCCGAAGTTCTATCGCCCGAAAATTGATGAGGGTGAGGCCCGGATAAACTATCACGCTTAGAAATCGAGAGCGAACAATTTAAGTATTTTGTTGTAAATCTACTGGTCGCTCAAAACAAGTCTGGCTCATTTTGTTTTGTTTTGTTTTTTAAACCACACAGTGCTAGGCTTCTCGCGTCATTCATTAAGAAAGAAACTAAATTAATTATGACACGTATCAAAGCCGTTTTCGTTTCGTTTTTTTTTTTCGAATCATCACACGAAATATCGATGAAACAACGGTTGATAAATTTTATTAAAAGCCATGCTTGATTAATCAAACACAGCTAAACTTATTCCAAAGGCATTTTATACTTCATATTTCCATGAATTGCGGATAAAGCTGTTGATGAGACCTGATGGGTCCTTGTACATCACATGGTTCGTTATCATTATGTTCCCGGATTTCAAGTCTTCAATAAAACTGTAAAACTTTGCTCCTAATCCTCCCAGACATATAAAAAAATCCTATCAAAATGTTCAAAATTTCGTTTTTTCCCTCTTTAATTAGAGAGAGAATCTAAGTTTAATTTGCCGAAAAAACAAAACAAACGCGAGATACGGCTGTAAGAATGTTTTAAGAAAACCTTTATCAAAGAACGAAAGGTTTCATAACCGAAGAGGCCTGTAACAGTGCGTTGACGTTTTCCACGTTCTTTCGTCTGGGATTTTGTTTATGTCGCGTCTTGAGTTGCAACACACAACAAAGTTGGACCCAGTTTATACGATGGTGACATGCGTTGTTCGTGTTTCGGAACGACCAAATATACTTGCTTGAAATGTAAAATCCCAATTTGCAATAAATGTTAAATTTTTTAAGAAGAAGAAGATTAGCAAGGATGGGTCGCTCGTAAAATCGTCGCCTTTAAGATGGTTTGCATTCTTCTTCTTCTTCCTCTTCCAGCATTTCGAGCAGAAAAAGGCTCTTTCTTGCAGATTGCTGCCGGAATCCATGGCTTCCGCCATGTCTACAATTGTATGCCAAATCAATCACCAAATAATAATTTTCTTCGATTAATTAATTTCGGTC